TTGTGGTTTCTCTTTGAAAAGACGCCAATGATGTGGAACATGCACGTATGCAGGCTCCATTCTTCTTCAGTAAATGACTGCATGCATTGTCTGCTGTCAATCTCTTGTGCGTGATATTTCAATCCAGTGCAGGAAAAGCAGAGTGTGTCTCTTTTTGTTGTTGTGACTGGGTGTGTTGAGAAGTAACTTATGAATGTACATCACTTTGGTGAACAAAGCTGAATGATGCCAGCTATATAATTAGAATTAGCTCTAAGTCTGATATGATGATAATCTTATAGTTTGTTCAAAAATAACTTAGACAACTGATTCTCACTTCTCTTCTCTTCTCAGGTTTTAATGTGCATAGATATCTGTTGCCTCTCACCTGATGTCTGATGGATGAAATGTCATTCTGTGTTAAGTATATGGAACAGCATAATAAAATATGTGAACGCATTGTGTTTTTAAAACCACTACATTGTTCCACAAACTCATATCTATACACCAGTGTCCACTGATGCTGTATAATATATTTATTTCTGGTGTAATGTCAAGAGTATTGTATCATTTTGTGGTATACGGCTGTCATGTAGCCATGGTTACGGATGTGTCGGTCCATTGTAACCATTCAACTACAGAAACGCAGGATGTTTTGTTTCTTCAAGTTATCTGTTTCCAGATTTCTTCAAAGTACATTAAAATATTTGACATCACACACTTTCTGTCCCACATTTATTTAAATGTTGATCTGAGTATTTATTTACAGCGCTGAATGAATAGAACTGCTTCACATTAGACACTGTTATGATTTTCTTTCTTCATTTTTTCAAGGACACTGTTTGTTTCCATGCATTTACATTTAAATACAAGCCTCCGCTGGGCACTGCGCTCAGTGCCGGCTCTTTACCTGACAACCCTGAAGGCATGTTAGGAGGGACAGCCTTGTAGAGAACTGAGACGTGCACATGCAGAACATATTAAATATTGCAAATGGTTAAATAAAACGTGGCTGACTGAGGCTTTTGGCAAAATAAATGATGTATTTTTAACTGTTTTCTAATGCTGATTATTATTATTATTATTATTAAAGGCAATGTTTGTGCCTCCATCTGTTACTGCTGTGTGGTTCACTCCATCTGCACAGCCTGCATGTGTTTGTGTTATGTATGTGTGGATAAATCGAGGCTCTGAAAAGTGCACTAGAGTATGCATGAGTGTGTGTGCTTTCATATCCTGCTGATGCCAGTTGGAATAAATGCAATCACTCTGCACACACTTTGCTCCTGAACAATGCCAAGCCATGTCAACATGCACACACAACCATGGAGGACACACGTTCCCTTGAATCTACGCTGCATGAATACATAACACAACTAAAGGCCGGAATGCTATAGTTGCAAGTGGTGGAGAAAGATGCCTGTAACAGTCCAAACAAGTGTGTGTGGTTTATGGTGATGAGCTGTCAGATTGGGTTCTGTCGACAGCACCTCAGTGTTTATGCAGCGCTGGTAGTCTCCAGGAAAACAGGGGGGGAAGAGAGTGCTGCTTGATATTTACACACAGCAGCCACACCGTCTGGCAACGATGATGGCTCCCTCATGGCTCCGAAAGACAGAAATAAACCCAGAGAAAATCAGGAGCGAGACGGAGTGAGAAATAGATGCTGGGATATGCGGTACTTGCAGTGGAAGGAGTCAAAACATGGCAGATGTTATGAGATGTGGGCATTCAGAAAGAAGATGGAGGGGAAATAGACAAACGACTGCAGCATGACACAGTTCCATCGGCTGTGCACGTCTTTTCGTTTCAGTGTTTTTGCTTGTTTTGCACATCAAACTCCACATCACGTTTACACACGAAGACTGGACACTTTTCGATTTTCACTTATTCTATTAAACTCGACTGAATTTCTACCTGCAAAACCTTTTTGTTGTGATGTTTGTGATGCTTTAACTGTGCAACCATTTTTTTTCTGGATAGGAGAAAGTGCAGATAACACACTCGGCACAAATCTCTGAAGAACAGTAAAGGTGATGGAAAAAATAAATGAGCAAATGTGAACCTTGTTAGAGATGATGTAAACTGGAGTAAAAGTACAGATGTGAAAAGATGATGGGGTTCAGTGCAGCAGCTTAGATAACTGCAGGTTCTTCTGTTGTAGCCTCTTTTCTTTAATTTCACACTTTCACACAGTTTATTTTGAGATGTATAAGTACATGAACAGTCAGCCTACATTCAGTGAATATAAGTACCTTCAACGGCCTATGATTTACTTAATGACTTTAGAATGTACTCGTTTTATTAGAATATTAGATGCTGCATGTGATAACAGTGTTTTACAGCCATTTTTGTGTTTTATTGCAAAGTATATTTTCATGAATTTGAAACACTAGTTCAGTGCTCATTCTAAACCTGCGTGTTTGGAATTTGCTGATTGCTTGGCTTCAGTGAAGTTCAGTGAAGCTCGACTCAGTACGCACAACCCCGGACTGGAGAGACAGTTGTTGTCGCACCAAATTCTCCTCTGCACTTCACTGAGCCCATAACAGTACTAAGTGGGGACTATAGGATGAACGATTTTCAGGATTTGACAGACAGAGTTTTCCCAAACTATTTGATAAACCAGTGAGCTGATGTACATTCTTTATTATTGGAACGAGGAGAAACACAACACTGGGCAGCAGGTAAAGTCTGTAATGTGACGCAGGTGAGGCACTCCCTCACAGAAAATAGTTCCAATGTCCATGCCCTCATAATAATGATAATAGTGACCGTAATAATAATAATTGTTTGTGTCACAGCCCCTTTGTAGATACCCAAGTACACAGCACAATAAATCAGAAATAAATTCATGAATTAGTGGAATAAAACCAGTTTTTATTCTGTGAACAGTAACTTCTAAACCTGCAGTACCTGCCAATTTTGCTCTCGATGACAGAAGTGTCTGGTCCTGTTGGTCTCGGATGTCTTCTCACATCAGCAGACCAGAGAATTGGGCCTCTCAGTCTCTCAGCGTCATGAAGAACCCTGACGTCACACTCTCACCAGCCATCTGTCACACCGGTGGTCCAGCCTCAGCTGGACGCCGGCTGGCGTGATCCACACCGGCCTGGCCGAGGCTGAGCCCGCCTGGTGGGTCTCTCTCCCGCCTCCTGCGGTGCCAGCAGCACTGGCTGCTACAACCCCGACACCACTGATCCTTTTTTTGGTGTCCGAGTCTCGGTTTGGCTCCGGCCACGGCAGGTAGAACCGGGCAGCAGATGGCAGAGGAGACCAAAACCCACACATGAGCCCACACACAAGACCTGCACACACGTGCACTTTTAGAGAGAAGCTATGGACAGCATCAACATATGGTTTGCAGCTTTTCCACAGTTGTACAACTATTCATTTCACACACCCACAGCACTGTTAGCATTCACCTTTTTCTCATTCGAACTGGTTATATTTAGAACTTTGGCTAACTGGGTTCATTATTATCAGCATGATGAAAGCAACAAGACCCTCCGTTTACCCCCACATTTATTCACACCTAGTAGCCAATAAGATGGTGAGAAACAGCCCCCTGCCGGCTGCAGGTTATTTAAGTCCTGTGGAGGGAATGGCAACAAAACACGGCAGTAACACCATGACAGCCATTTAATGAGCCCAACTATACTTTAAGGACCAGATCCTAATTTCAGCCAGAGTCACTTCTGAGCCAGCAGAGCGAGGAGAGACGAGACTGGCCACGACGAAGCCCAGCGTCTGTGTTACTCTCTCTTCTGTTTGATTTATGGACATTTATGAGATAAGTGTGGCACAACCTTTTTAAAGCAGAGTTACAGCACTTTAGTTTAATCACTGATGAATTCAACATGTAAAAATTGTTGACAAAAGAACTGTTAAAGTGCTTTCAGCTTAAAAAAAATGCCTGTTAAATCATACATATCCATTTTATTTGTTATAATGGGATATTTTAAGGTTAGAAAAAAATGATTAATTATTCTGACTCATTAGGTATGTTTCTGCAGTTTGTCATGGAGGCTGTGCATTTATTGAATAATAATGGAGAATATTATGGTGTTTCTTTAATAATGTCATCAATAAATAAATCATAAATATTGATTCTAAGCATGGATCATGCTATTTTCTTTAATGAGTTATTCCATATGTTGTCATCAGCTTTGCTTTGGGAGAAGAACTCAACTATTCAGATATACAGGACAGGGCGGTGAATTAGTTCCACCACCTTTAATGAAATGTACCGTGGTGCAGTGGTTCAGTATTTCACAATTATTTTAATGCTCATTGTCAAAATAGTAACATGCACCTACATAGGCAGACGCACAACATGTGTTCACGCTGCTTCTCACACGCAGATGATCTGCTCGTGTGTTTCCTCTCTTTTATTACCTGGAAAACCTGCCATTATAATATCAACCCTCCAAGGTACAAACAACTGGAAAACACTCTCACTGTTCACTGCTGCAGTGCCTTGATTTTCTTCAGCTAAAATAATCAAAGTTGATGTGGACCTAAATGCATTCGGTGCCATGAGCTTAGATTGTGAAAGCAGAGCCCTCAGGTTCATGTCATTCATCAACTGTAATCCTTCTTCTACTTCATCACTGTGCGTCCATCTATGACGCTCCTCCTGCACATTTGATCTGTTTAACACTCTCAATTCATTCCAATTTTAATTGTATAGTGCAAGGGGCGGGGCCGGGGGGGCCACTGGCTCCAGCTAAATTCTGATTGGCCTCTGAAGTGCCCCTGTCTCGTCAGTGTCTTTTTTTTAAAAATAATTTACAGCGCTAAGAAACAATTTTCAAACTATATTCAGTTTTCAGTTTGTGGCTTGATCAAAGAAAAATGACTTAAATGTGCACTTTACTAAATCAGGATATTTTCATGTTGGACGGGGCATTAGTAGGGCGACCATCTGCCTCGAGAGAGCAGGACCAGCTCACACTGGTTGTTATAATGAAGTAAACTAATGGTGATACTTAATTTGAAGGACATGAAGCGACACATTAGAAGAAGCAATATGTATCTTTATTATACGCTCTGTACATATTTTACAGTATAATACAGCAACAATACACGGTAATACTTCACAGTCAGGATTGCACGGTTTTTAGAGTTAGGCCACAGCGGTCGGGTACCATGGAGACATAATACTGAATGTACAGTAGGAACAGCGTTAATCTTTGGCTTCATTGGGACAACAACACATGGGTTTGGATGCAAAGCTCACACAATACAGGGTCACTGAGGGCAAACTACATGACAGGAGGGTGGAGGAGATATAAAGTATAATTCGTTCATGTGTGACTGGTATGTTTCTGCTCAGGTTGGTACGGAACATGTCTTCACGTGTTGGTTCAGGAGATTGTTTCCTAAAACCCCTGCTGGGCTAAGACTTGCTCAGCCCGGAATCCTGTCAAAACGCTTCTCCTCACGTACGCAGTGTGTGTCTCCGCATACCGAAATGATCTGTGCACACACTGTACATGAGAAGATAACAGTGGTGTGAGCAAATCCTAATTCATCCTCTAATTGGCATCATTTCTCTCAGTCTATTAATTTGTGGTAAAATTAAACTAGGCCTCATTTTGCTTTGGTTGTTTATAGAGTCCCCCCCCTCTCTCTCTCCCTCCTCTCCTCATAATACTGAATCATCTACTCTTCTCCCGCCAACATATGGCGTCGGCTGTTGCAGCCTACAGAGCATCGACATACAGAGAGAAACCAGGAAGACGGGAGACTGGATGAAAGATAGATGCTGGTGAAAGAGAGCGATAGAGAAAGAAAGAGGGAAGGGAAGTGACATAGTGGGAGAGGGGAGCTGACAGAGAGATGGATGCAGGCGGGTCGCGGAGGTGAGGAGATGGTGTAATGATTAGATCGCAGATACCCTTGAGCCTTCCTCCCGTCCCTCCTGCACACAGGAACAAAAATCTGGGAGCTCACTCGGAGGGGATGAAGGCCTGCAGTTGTAAATGGCCCCGCTGTCAGGGTTCATCTGGGCGGAGGAGGGAGTGGATTAGAGGAGCCTGCTCTGCCTCGCCGGTTCTCCCAGGACAGGAGAGATGTGGGCTGGATCACATTTGTGCCGCCGCCACTCTCTCAGACTTCCTGAAGATGCTACATCTACATCTAGTGTTTGACTGATCAGGGAGGTTTGAAGAAACGAAGGTTCCTTCTGATTCTGGAATATCAGTAAAGTCTTGATGAACAAAATTATTTCTCATAATATTTCATTAATTGTTTCCCAACTACTTCAGGTTTATATCCAGATAAATCAGAATTTTGTGATACTTTAAGTTTTCTAACACTACTACTCTCCTTCCATACACTGTTCGCCTCCTAATCAGATGATGTCATCTCCAAACTTCACCAAGTTGAGGGTGACTGGTCAGAGAGGAAGAGATGTGTTTAGGATGCCTCCATCTAGTGGTCACTTAATGACACTGTTGATGGAACCAAATAGGAAATGGGAGGCAATTAAAAAACAAACATTAATGTGATCCTTCTTTTTTGACTGAGAGCAAAAATATTTTGTCACATATCGTAAAGGGATGGAGTGGCAGGGGGTTATTAATCATTTCCAAACATAATGGCTCCATTGAGTTAATGCAAAAGTCTTAACCATAAATTCTTACTGACATTGAAAAAAGACATTTCTGTCCACTGGAGACATTGAGGACGTATATGTGATGGGGGATGGGGGGATGACGTCTCTGAACTGAAACAGTGTCCTGAGGACTGTTTCCAGAGGCTCCCTCCCCTCTCATGATATTAAAAGTTTTCCATTTTAAATTAAGACAGGGATGATTTTTAATACGTCATGCAGAGATGTGTGAAAGTGCTGTAAGAGGCAAGGAGGGAGGAGGGAAATGTCAGACGACGACAGAAAGGGAGTGTGGACATTTGGAGAGTAACTGCTGCCTCCATACAGAAATCACCGACCATGAATTAAATAAAAAACCTAATATGTACATAATTGAAACAAAGGAGTGACGTTTGTTCTGCAATAAAAGAACCATCGCTGCACAGTGCCAGCTGTTCCTGATTCCTCAGTCTCACCTCCAGATGTAATTTGATCACTTCTTTATATCTATGTCCTCTGCCGCCTTATTCTGTCTGACTATATGTTGCCATGTATTGACATTATAAGTGCATTGTGCAGCGTGTTTTAAGGTATTCATTCCCTCAAATGCAGGAAAAGCCTCTGTTCACTGTGGATTAAGAAGACGGGTGCGTTATGTATATACAAGGGTGAAGCACAGAGGAGGGAGGTGAGAGGGAAAAGGTGGTTCTGAAAACTCAAACTTCCTTTGAGTTCGAGTGTTGAGACTTCACCTTTGAAAATTTTATATATTTCTGGTCAAAAGAAGTTCTCAACATTGCAGATGCTCAGTTTCTGCCAAAGTTATGTTCTGCAGAGGAAAAGAAACTAAGGAAGAGAAACATTCTGATGTAGTAAAAGTAGAAATTTGGGTGCAGACGTACAGTATCTGTATCCATCATATCTGCACATGATGAAACTGAAACAAAACTCAAGTCATACTGAAAAAGCAAAGACAGGAAAAAGACAAAAAGAAGTATAGAGATTGGCCTTTTTTGTGCCTCATCTCTTTTCCTCTGTTTTATGTTACCGGAGCAGGTGGCTTGTTCCCCGACACTAATGGCTCCACTAAGATAAACCCTCAGCGAACATTCTCCTGTTGACAGAGCTGCCACTGATAAGAGCGGCGGATCGCTAACGCCCAAGACAACTGAAAACATGAGATGCTGGGCTGCAGATAAAGAATGGAGGAGGTGGGAGGAGGAAAATAGAAACAACAGCGATCAATTACTGGCAGTGTGCAGCAATGCTATCCGAAACCATCCCCCTCTTAAATCTCCTGTAAGTGTGTGTGTGTGTGTGTGGTGATGATGTGGAGGGGTGGATGTGTCAATCTGGGTCATCAAGTCATCGATAACCACCTGTATTAATAGAATATACACACAGGCAAGGTCAGAACTGAGGGGAAAATGTACAGTGTCTGCCTGTCCAACTCTGATCAGTCTATTTCCACATTGGAGTGGTGGGATGGATGGATGGATGGATGGATGAGCACATGAATGGAAAAGTGGCATTTGAACATTGTCGACTAGACGGAGTGGCGACGACCGACTTGGCGAGCAGAAACAGGTGGGAGCTGGGGGCTGTTGCTGGAGCAGAGAGACAAAGAGAGCTAAGGGTGAATTATGGATGGACGAATGAAGTAAGGGAGGGGATGGGGGTGTCTGGCGAGGGCTTGTGTCCCGCTGACAGGCAAGCTGCTAGTTGATGGAGTCACTTAGCCTCGCCGAGTCGACCAGAGGCAATCGGGCCTCTGCGCGTCCGTAGTGAGCTGCAGCCCTTTTCTCTCTCTCCCAGAGGCCTCTGGGATGGTTGCAGGCAGCAGGGCAGGAGGAGAGTAAAGCCATGACAACTGGAGCAAGCAGCGGTGCAGACGCTTACTGTCTGTCACTGTTATGTGCTCAGTGCAGTGACTCCACCGCCGACATTCTTCTTCTTCTATCTTATTTTTACTCCCACGGCAGACATTTCACTCCTCACCCTCCTCTACGTATGTGGATGGAAACCAGCCCACCTGAAGAGAGAGAGGTGGGGGTGAGTCGTTATACAGGCTTTTACTGAGCATCAGTCACAATTTATAGTGAACCCATTTCCAATTTTCCCTCAGATTCCCTTTAGCTTTAATTCTAAGGATTTAACTTGGTCAAAACAAATCCAGAAGCATCATGTTTATCACAAATAATAACTTTAAAAAATCAATAAAATAATATGAAGAATTATGAAGAAAATGGTAATCACTCACCATATAACAGGTTCAACATATATAGATATAATAAGATTTATAAAATGTTTTTGCTATTTATCAAGTATTTGTCATTCTCTGCTCAAGGAAAGTTGAGAACCTAGTATTTCATTTCACTGAGACGTGGTGTTACCCAATCGAAAACATCGACTGAGCCGACTGAGTTTTTCCAGCCAGTCGTGCCAGTTGTTTTTCCTGGTCAGAGGCGCTAAAGAGACACAAACAGCACTTCACCACCTCTACACAGAGCGTTTGGTTTTCTCCAGAGCCGCATCAACACACACATCAGCCTCAATAATAGAGAAAAACCTCTTCATTCACCACAGCTGTTCACAAAACACACTGAGACGCATTACTGAGGGCTGCAACACACACACACACACACACACACACATCCAGGCTCTGAGTGGGAGTCAGAATACTTCTCTGCGTTCAGAACCAGGATCGTCTCAGAGCTGTATGCCTGATTATAGAGGGCTCTTGGTAAGGGATGGGGAAATTTTTGCATTTAAGTCCCAGCAGCACGCAAACTCTTCCAAGTGAGGATATGTGGAAACCGAGTACATGATAGAATGCAGCCAAATCTTTCATTCCAGTTCAGCCAAAAGGAGATCACAACTATATAAGCATAAAGCCACGTATATTCTTATTATAGGCTTATTTAAAGTGGATGAGTTGGAGGCTGTGTTTGCTTCCTAAGGCCGCCACTCACCCTGCTGTTGACCTCGCCTCTCCACCACCCGTTGGCCCCTGACTTGGTGTAGATCTTCACCACGTCGCCCTCCTGCAGCGACAGCTCCCGGGTGTCACGTGAGCTGAAGTCGTAACGTGCGATAGCCACACCGATCACTTTGGGAGTAAACACTGGAGAGGGAGAGAGTGGTGAAGAAGGAGATAAGAGAGTTAATCTTTTGTCTAACAGACAAAAAATAACTTTTAGCATCAGCACTTTAAACACAGATATGGAGATGGAATACCATTGATCTATAATATGGGTTTAGATTTAGATACAAGATTTAATTAAGACAGCTTCATTAAGATTGGTCATTCCCATACTGTAAATTCTCAAATATGAGTCAATGATTACATGAATGAGCCACACATCTGTTATCTCCACGTCATTTATTTCAAACAGATTGCACTAACTCGTTGCGACTTATATATATTTTATTTTCAAAGTTATGCAGCAAATGTAACTGCGTGAACTGACCAAACTAATGTTAGCTTGTTCTCATACTCAATTGCATGAAAGTAAAACAATTCCTCTGTGTATCTACATTACAGTGTTTAGGTCAGGTGTAATCATGTTAACTGGGCTATTTACTTTTTTCTTTTTTGACACTGCTCGTGCCTGTAATTGGGGAAAACATTGGGTTGGGGTTGGATTCGGCAGAAAAAACCGCATGCCTGTTGGGTTTGTATGAGTACAACTGAATAATACAAGACAGGTTGTACTGTTGGACAACTAAAATGATCTGTTTTGGAAGTTAAGCTTCAGGTTTCTATTAATTGACTCTTGATGTGAGTGGTGTCAATGCACTAAATCTAGTAACAGATTTAGAAAAAGTGTAGTTTGTGCAAACCAGTTTACTATTTTTCTTGTGTGAGTGTTCAGACTCAACCTCATTGGGGCTCACATAGGCTCGGCCTACGCTCACGGGTGGAAATGTCAGACCTGTACAACCTGTCTGTGAGGATAGAATATCTCCTATAGAGAAGCTCGATGTGTACGTACAAGTCCATGTTTACTGTGAGGGACAGACACACACACACACACAAGGGAACAGATACCAAACTCACAAACCTCTCTGAAAACATCTTTAACACATTGGCAGCGACATGAAACAAATGTACATGCACAAACTCACATACAGTACATGCATGACTTAAACAAATAGTCCCTACTTTCCACATGTGATGACATGTACAGTATGTCATTATGCAAGAGGTGAGATGGTGGATGTAAAGGCAGAGATTCAGACAATGATGTGAGAGCACTGAGCTGCAGCCAGCATGCTAAGCAGCCTTCCACATGAAAGAGAAGAGAGAAAGAAATACAGTGACAGCGAGCAGGCAGAGAGAGCGAAGCGATACCTGTACCTGACCAGAAGGGAGCAGAGGAAGGAGGTACAAAGCTGTAGCCGGCAGGAGTTACAAAAGAGAGGCCGCAGAGCAATGGGGCTATGGCAGGGCAGGGCAGGCCAGGCAGGGGGCGGAGAGGTGCGAGAGTGGGGGGAGGCCAGGGATGGTTGTGGGTGGCAGAAGAGAAAAGCAAGGGAGAAAAAATAAACAGGTTTTTTTTTAAATCCCAATTCGCAGCTTTTAGTTTTTTTCAAAAGGCACAAAGAACAGAGTCACAGTTTGATGAAGAATAAATGACAACAGTCACAGGAGGAGATCGAGTAGCAGCTACTCCACTGATGTTCAGTGGATAATTATTCTGTATTTACACTGATCAGCCCGATGTGAACACTGTGATTTGAAATCAACATTTTTAACTCAGACATGAGGGATCAGATGTCTGATTTAGAACAGTTTGTCAATACTGGGAATTCTAACCTTAAAGCAGTTGTTGTTAGAGTCATACTTATATAATCTGTTGGTTTTCAAGCTAATACCACACGGTCCAGCCTCCTCAACGAATGAAAACTGGTCAAAAATTGGCCTTCGACCAACAAAATTTAATGAGATAATCTGTGAGTCTAAATAACATTTGAGCCAAATTGAAAGGGATTATTTTACGATAACGTGTTCACAAAGCCAAAAAGTTTTTTGTTTAGGCTGGAGTGATGAAAATAAATTCCCTGTGGGGGTTCCTGATGACGTTGTCACATTCATAAGAACCTGAGATCACTGAATGAGTTACTCTTTGAGTCCATGTGAACATTTGTAACAACTTTAAAGATATTCCCAAGGTGTACCTGAGATGCTGCATTCTCAAGACCAACAACATGATTTGTAAGGTCAGAGTGACCCTAACCTTTGACCACCAATATCTTATCAGTTTATCCTTGGGTCTTAGTGAACATATGTACCACATTTGAACTATTTCTCTCAAGGCATTCTTGGGATATCCTGTTCACAATGGGATGGACGGAAAACCCCAAAACATAACGCCAATGGCTGTTGCCAGTGTGGAGGCATAAAATGATACTTGCAGGCATGGAGTGGGCATAGAGTGGTGCTATAATTGTGATATATTACATTTGTCTCATTTACATATGTACATTTTTTAGATTCCTGTTCTGAAATGAAAGATCATCGTGGCTGCTGAACAAACCAACACCACTGCTATTATTCAGTTGAAACATGCAGCGACGACAAACATTGACTCCAATTTACCAACAGGATGTCTACATCATTAATGGAGGGCAACATCTTCACTTCTGTATTTAATTGGTGGGAACATGCAGCGTGCTCACAATTACTGCAGAGGGAATAAACGTCTGTTTGCATATTCATAAAGACAATCATCCAGCTGTAATACAGCCACGACTGATAGTCACGGCATCAACGCTGCAGATTTCTCGACTTTAAACAGAAACCGAGCCTTCAGGGTTACACAAGCAGCTTGAGAAATAACCCACATCAAGTCAACGACTGCATTTGTATTTTTATTTTTCTTCCAGTATTTCTTCTGGCAAAAGCTACAAGCACTGATCCCAGCAATGTCTAGGAGTCACCAGAGTTAGTGCCTTGCTCCCGGGAACAGAACCTCTAACCCTGATGGTATCAGTACCTCAGCCTTAATGGATACATTTGACTGCATTACTTTATTTTGGAATGTCAACGTGGCCAATATGGCACAAGTACAGTTGTGAGACGATGCTGAAGGCTTAATAGGTGGCAGCAAAGTTAAACTAAGACAAACTGTGTAAATGAAAAGCTGATGTAGGAATTAAAATGCTCAAACTTACAGTTTTTATCTAGACGATGGAGAAAAATCAACTAAATAGGCAAATGCAAGAAAATGGGGTGGTTAACAACTTTGTCTTTCTTGCTGGCAAGTCAATCAATCAACTAAGAAAATGACCCCAAAAAGGCAAGGGGTGACCTGATAGATCATAGACTATTGACTGCATGCTTTTGTACACATTTCCTATCTGCAGTCACCATTAGGAATAAAATATCCTAAGTAGACTGGCACTCAGAGAGCACATACCTCTGCCAAGGCTCAACAGTCCCCTTATGAAACGTTTAAATTCACTTGATCCAAATTTTTATTTTTATTTGGATCTGCACCAAATTGCAGACACTAATATCAGTCCCGTAAAAATGTCTTATTTGTATTTCATTAAGATCCATGAAATATTAAACCAGCCAACCTCTCAAAGTTGAAGAAAGTGAAACAGGTCCTGGATCCGCACCAAAATTCTCTCCTGACTGATACTGCATCCTTGCACCAGGTTTCGTAGAAATCCCTTCAGTATGTTTGTGTAATATCGCTTACAAACAAAACAACCAATAAACACATGACAGAGGTACAAACTGAAAAATGACCTACAGCAAAGGAAGTAATGTGTTGAATTGAAGTCTATGTAATTAATAATAATAAAATACAGTTTATTATAGACAACAAACAGCACTTTAAATGTGAGTTTTAACACATTATCACCCCCAAAACCTGTGTCTCAGTCCAGCAGCCCATTCACAGGTTCCTGAACCTGCCCCTGCACAGGAGCCTATATTTCAGCCAGCGGGAATAGAAAATCTAATCCCCACAAAGGCAGATAAATGCCCAAACTTTGTGAAAAATGTGCCGCTCCCAACAATGCTGCTGGCAAGTTAACAGGCCAGGGTTATTGATATGCTGTACGGGGGAGCAGGGCTCCAGCGGTTTTTAAAATGAATTCTAATCAGCGCACTGAGAGACAGCTCAGCAACCTCTAATGGTGTCTAGGTATGAGCAATATGAAGAGGGATCGCCCTCCACTTCAAACAGCCACCAAAACACCAGCTGCATTTTACATGCTTCATTTTTGCTAAATCTGATTTGTGAACCTCACCAGAATACACAATGTGAGCTGGTAATACAGGAGGAGTACACACACACGTACACTCCCATTGTTGTTGTTGATTGGTCGTGAACTGTAAAATGACACAACATGTTTTTAGGTGAGACTGCTCCACGGGCACGTAATCATTTATATTTGGGGTTATTGTAGCTGCCGCATCGGTTAAACACGATCTGTCTGAACAGCTTTCACCTTCTGCAGAACACAAAACAAAAGCCTAAACATCAATTAGCGGTCTTCCAGCAGTGCTCGAGGAGGACGGAAATCAAAACATAACAGTCTTTTTCAAGAGCGAAAGAGAGAAAACCAAGTCTGCAAAGCGGGAGGGGGCTGCCCACAGGACAGCGGAACGCACCGGAACAAAACAGATTTGGACCGGAGCCGCGTTGACTCGTATTGTGAGGCAGAGTTTGAACAACGGGCCTCGTCTACAACAACCACACATCTCTGTACAATCTGTTCACTCCTCTCCCACCAGGAATGTGATTGTCAACAAGCCAGGGCCTTTTTTTTCTTCTCTTACACACAGTGGCACACAAGGTTCAAATGAAACCCCATTTTTCCACTGATTGTTGTAACTCAAAGACTTTCCATTAAGCGACTGATGGGCAGTGCTGCTTTGCTTGGCTCCCACACCGGCTTTAATACCTTGTTTTTTCTCCTGGCATTACTTGAAACATTCAGCCTATGTGAGCATATTCCGCTTCACTCTGACAGCGTTTTTTGAAAGTCGTTCCCACGTGACATTATCAGCCGAGCCAATAAAACAAAGGAGTAAATACCGAATAGGTCCAAGCTGTCATCACCAACTGTCCAGTTTGACAATATTCTGCAGTTTGATCTGTTGCTCCATCGTCTTACATCTCTTTAAAGTCTCATTTCAAAGTTACACATCCCACACCTGTTCACTGCCACGTCAATGAATGCAGCGTTTCAGTCTAACCGCTGAGAACTGAGAGGAGCCAGGTGAGCTGCAGGAGTGAATTACAAACCTGCAGCTTAAAGAAGGAGCAACAGCTGCACAAATAAATAACCATCAGTGTACCGCAGCAACAAAGACACACAAAAAGTTGTGCTGCTCAGAAAGTGTTGGCAACAGCTGCTTACAAAGGGTAAAAAAAACACCACAACAAAGTTCTCCAACAACTTTGTGCAGCATATTCACTGAAAATGATTCTCTAAAGTGTAAAAAGTCATAAATTATTAATAATTATTAAAAGAATAAAGTTGTAATTTAGCGACGATAATAAAATGTTTAATAACAGACTCATAAAACCCTTGGAAGCTTAACCCTCATACTAACTGTATTTTAATTTAAATAAAATTAGACCTCACCTTTAAATATTAATGTTGTTGAATTAATAAATCACATAATAATGAATTTGAATTTGCTTTACCATATTTTAGATGCAATAGAATACAAGTCTGATTACAATTTATCTTAACTCATTGAAGGTTCCACCAGATAATGTCGCTCCCCAGAAAATCGGATCAATCTGATCCTCAGTCAGCAGAGTCCATAGAGAGTTATCAAATCTAATAACACGCTTAGTGGATTCCTCCAACCTCCGTTTGACAGCTGAGTCTTAAACAATTAATATCAGAGGAGCCTGAACCGTTTTTAACAACAGATATGGAGGCAGCTCTTTTAAGGCTGTGAAGACGCTCCCTAGAGAATCATGAAGAGTGAAAGTCGGAGGGACAGAAAACAGAAGATGCAGCTTCTGAAGTGAAGAGAGTATGAGGACATAACAGGTTACATTTTCTGGTAAACTGAGCTAATGATATTCAAATTCAGTGGACATGAGGACATGAGTCCGAAAACCTAATTTAGTCAAACCATACAAATACGCAACATCAAACTTGCAGTATCTGCAAAATTCAAGCAATGTATCACTTTAAAGGGGTTTTATTTAGCTCCAAACTGCTTTTAATCCTAAAAGGTCTGGTCTATTTTTTTATAAAACCCTTCAGGTCTACTCACTGTTGCCACTTGACCGGTTGATACGGTGCAAAGCAGCGTTCTCCGCTTCCTGGTAAGGAAACTGCAGCGTGGTGTCCAGACTCCTAAAACCTTCTCTCAGGGAGTGGTGTTTGTAGTATTCGATCAGCTCCTGGACACACACACACGCACACACGCACAGGAAGTTATTTGAATTTGTGTTTAATAGATGTCACATTTATCCTGAAAAAACAGAAATACAATAAATGCATATTTATGAATGTTTTTTTCAGCTCTTGCTTCACAAATGAATCGTATTACCAGTTGGTGCAGGTATTAAACAATCATCATCTTATCAAAGCATAGGTGTTAGTTCATTTATAACATTATCTGACCCTAAAAAATACATTTAAAACTAACATGTTATAAAGATCCCGTATTGACACACATTGGTATTCAAATATTTTCCTCACAAACATGTTTTCTAGCCAATCTGAGATACAGAAAATACAGTCCTGGCATAAATAAGACTGGTGAACCTTTCCAATATGCACTGGACTTATCTGTAATGCTCGAGCCCTCAGGCCAGTATAAACACATCTCTAATCATGGCTATTTTTGTGCACACAGCTAAAATAAAATTCAGGTTTTGACACTTCATTAAGTGAACCCGATGATTTATTTATGAACTGCAGTGGTGGAATTTGAAAAAAAAAAGAAAACAGGAGAAAAAAACTCACAAATATGCTCCTGAACTTCTTGTTCTCTGCGATGTAGAAGCAGCCATCCTTGGTCAGGATCTTTATGTGCTTCACGTCGTTGTTGTACCTGCAAACCATTGAATAAGTTATGAGTGTAATTTCCTTCTCTGATCACCGCCATCGATCGGTTGGCTCGGCCCCTGGCTCCTGTGGAGTGCGCAGTGGTTGGTGTAATGCATGGAGTCCCAAAGGTTTGAGACACGTGAATGATGGGTTGTCAGCAGAAAATGTGCCCGAGTGTATAAACCCGCGACCCCACCCCGCAACAACCAAGCTCCCACACTTGCGTTTGCATTAGCAGGGTGGCTGATGGGACTAGAGGAGTAAAAGCCGTCGTAAAGCTGTGCAGATGTGCAGAAATCTGCCATTCGGTGCTTATCAGTAAATGTTTGATTAACTGTGCCAACTGCACCAGTCAGCTGGTTCCTGAGCTTTTATTATGTGACTGAGTCTGCGATGTTTTAATGTCGTTATTAAGTAATTTTGATAGTTCGTGAAAAACAACACCCCCCCATGGGAAAATAGATGAAGTATATATATGTTGTTTTAATCACGTCATTGTCAGCGTCCCAGTGTTAGTTCTGTCTTTTTTGATATTGTCTCTGGGGGGTTACAAAGGTCTTAAAATCCTCTCACACTCAAATGTCAGTAAATGTATTTGCAAAAGATTTAAAACAAATCCAAACAAGACCTGAAGATAATTAGACACTGTTCAAAACTGCAGCTGACCTGCACAGAGGTGACAAACAGGGGGCAGCATATCACACAATCAATTACTAAGAAGATGCAGGTGTATCACTTCTACATCTCCAGGCTCTACCCAACCCAGTTATCATGAATATGTTTGGACACCCAGCCTGACCCTGGTTCTGGCTCAGGTCTTGTTTATTAGGAGCAGAGCTGGACTATATTTAAATATTAAAGCATTTTGTAGGACATGTTAACTGTGTTTTGATCTTCACAGACAACACGGTCTCACGGCTGTAGCTTCGTATTAATGTACTGTAGCTGTGACAGTTTTATAAACCTACTAATCTCACTCTTGGCAAGACAGCAAATGCACATATTTCCTTAAACACTAAACTTTTACAGTTTTACATGCACAGGTCTCTAATGATGTGACAGTATTGAGACTAAACTAGTTTGAAGTTTTCAGGATTTATAGAGTGCTTTGTTTTTTATACTCTCTCCTGTGTGTGGCCAGAGCTACACAGGAAGCTGCCTCGACTTTGCACAGAACTGTGGTCTCTTGGCTTTTTGAACACAATCCTCAAAAGTCCTCTGCCTGCTCTGCTGAGTGAAACAGGCGATGTGTGAGAGGACATTTCTCTTTGTGAGTAATACTTTTTGAATGTTGTTCCCAGAGCTACAAAGGCTCTCTTTCCACTCAGCTTCTCTCTTTCATGGGGCGGTTTTAAAAACTATAAAGGCAGTCGTCCTTTCTGTGTGGGGAAAAAAAGGGCCAAAAGAATTAAATGAAGTTTAAAAGAGTGTTTGTATCGGTCAGTGAAGTCCACTTGCTCCTTATGGAGGGAAATTGTTTCAGCTCAGAGGCTCAACTGGTTTCCTTTCCCTGCCTGCACTTACACCGTTGCCATTCATCTTGAGTACAGAGAGAAGTTATGGTGAAAATATCCAATTTGTAAGTTCCTCATTGTAAAGGTTGAAATGGCTATCCTTCTGAGGTCAGACCATAATGAATACTGTTACATGTGTTTCCACCGAGGCCCTGCTCTATGATAAGCATCTTGGTTTGGTCAGTGTCCTACACATCACTGTGGTTAACCACAGACTCAGAGGAAAGGTTCTGAAAAGGAAAAATAACTGGCTCAGTCAATGATTGTCATATATCTGGGAGTTATATCTGGTCAATACTGTGGTTTGGCTGAAAGCACCAGACAGAAAAGGAAGAACAATAAAATGTGATGATAGCTCAATAGCTAAACCTGAAGACGTGCATAATTATATAGTAGTATCGAATGTTTATTTTTCTGGTTACCACTTACTGTAGCGTTTATTTAATTTACTTTAAAAGACAATAAAACTATATAAAAATATTTTATCATATACTCATGTTTTATTTCTACACGGACAATTGAGGATGTTCAGACTCTTGTTACTCTGGCGTTTACATATTTCGTGTTTAGGGAAACTCATCCTTTAAAGAGTTTGGTCTAAGAGCAACTGTATTATGTATGACAACATAAGTTAGAGATGACAAAAACTCATATTCTGGTTCATCATTGTTCCTCGTACTGTTCATTGCTGCAGGCCCTCTTATCAGCCACCGTCTGAAACACTTGGCTTCAGCTCCTGACTCATCAAGGCCTACCTATCCTGATATGGGTGTGGGTAATGTTGACCTTGCCAGACTAACTGCAAGCATGTATTAAGCAAATGTGGGGCATTTCAGGAGCTTTAGAAGCAGTATTTTCTGTGGGGGAGAGGAGCTCCCTATGGTGCAGACTTTTTAAGTTTGCAGAACCTTTTACTCCAAAAAAGCTATACAGCTCTCTGGAGGAAAGAAAACCTGAGACAAACTTCATGTCACTTTTAATCCGTGCTGATGAAAGTTTGTTTTGCACTTTTTTGTGGCCGAGTTCGGATTTGGACTGAAGGAGTTGCTAGAAAGAGCAGACTTACTTAATGCTGATGGCGTACTCTGTGTACTCTTTGCTGCGATGGCGGACCAGATAGGTGCTGTTGACCCTGTTGATGAGCTCTGTCTCTGCCTGCAACCTCTCCATGGGCCCCGCAAACCTACGACCCAGCAGACAAAAGGAGCATTGAGAAGAAAAAGGAGAAGAGAAAAAGCCCTGACCACCTGAAAACTCACAATGGAACATGACTGAAGTCACTGTCTCTGCACTGCTGATCACATTTTGCTTGTAAAATCTATGTGCTAGATTTCTACTTCAACTCTGATCTGCAGTATAAGTTGGGTGAACTGACAACTGTGTTTAATGAGCTTTTTATTACAGCCATTATCTTTCACCTTCTCACTCAGACATTCAGGGTAAAAACGTTTGTTGGTGAACGTACCAGGGTTGAGAGGAGTAATCGACGGGCTTCGGGACCTGGAGAAAAGAGCAAAAGTGATCATGTGATATTGTTTTTCCAAGACATGATCACTCATCTGACATCAATATGACTTGTCACTGCAGTAACATTGTGTACTTGGTGCCAGCTCTGCAGCACAACCCTGTTTGGCACTTTTACACCAAACAATAAAACTGAACTAAGTGCTCTTCTTATCTTTACGACATTGTAGACATGGTGATAACAAGTTGTTGTCTATTGGTGGCCTCACGTTTCTGGAGCAGCTGTTTTCATTTCATCAAATGGAACATGACAACCAGTGGAAGGGAGAAGATTTAATGTATTTAAAGGTGACACTCACATTTCTCCACTTCAGGTCGCACAATTGGAAGTATTACCTGATGATATGCTTTTGTTCTTTGCCTCTTATCGATAGAGCAAATTAGAGTATAAAAGACCTTTATCTTATAGAACCTGCCAAGTTCCTTGTCCTCAGAACAAAAAACAAATCATTTTGGCTGTCTCTCTTCTTGTGCAAGGCAAGTTGGCTCACCCCTGCTCAAAAATTCCCAATCATTATCACCTCACCATACAGCGAGTAAATACATGTTGCCCAGTACTTGCTGCTACTGTAGGAAGGGCAAGAAGGAAATGCTGCTTACGCATGGACAAGGCTTCACAGCATCGCTTGGAAAGAAGCCGATCTCTTTCGTTGACAGGATTTTGCCCTGAAACCACAGAGAGATAATTGTGTTATGTACATCTGGCCGACTCTGTCTCTATAATTCAGGAACAATTAGCCTGCAATGAATGCAGAGCGGTGCAAAATGTACGGCCCTGGTTAACGGTTGTTGAAATAAATGCTGGCAGGAAGAGAGAAGGACGATGAGATCCTTATTCCTCCCTGGGTGAAGCTTGGCGCCGTGATTTATCAACACTGGAGAGACTCAGTCCACATAAACAGGGGTTTCTCAGTGTAGTTACTGAAGGAGGCTCAGGCACTGACAGGTTGATGATGCTGATTTTGTTCCATGAACTAGCAAAATGTTTAATTTCTATGGGACAGTAATTCGGTCATGGGTTCCACAGCTTGAATCTCCAAATCCGAGAAGACTTTGTAATAAAAGAGCTTTGACAGCTGTGTAAAATGATATATTAAAGTTTGGCTATGCATTTTGTCCAGCATAAAATTATAAAATACACAAATGTATTACATTTTTACAGTGTCTGTTATATGTGAATTCCAGTCCAGTAGACTGCATCAGTGGCTACAATGTAATCTACAATGTAATGTAACAGCGTCAGTCCATGAAAAGAAGTCTTTTGACAAACACCCAGAACAATTTAAGCCTTTTAATGGCAAAAGAAATCACAATTAGTGAACATTTTGTCAACTGTTGCAGTTGCTCCATAAGATTACAAGTGATCTACTAAATTGATTTCAAAATATCTTATGTACCATTCAGTTACACCCACATTTATATACACTTAGGGCACAAGTTGAAAAATATCGGGATTTCCCTTTTACGTGGTTTGTGTCCATAAACATTTCACTCCACTCTATTGACTTTCTGTCATTTAATGAGGGAGCCGTTATGCATTTAGATCAACTGTATGTGTAATTCATCCACATCCACATTTACTCATCCTACATGCAGTAATAAATTCATTTGCAAAGCTTTAGGGCAAACTACCTACAAGCTGCAAACAGGAAGAACTGTTCCTGACAGGACCTGAACTGTTCCCTTAATACAGGACTCAGGCCCTGAGGCTAGTCCAGATGTGCCGCATGCAGGCTGTGTAGGGGAGCACAGCCTCTAGCATGAATAAATAACACAAAATGAATCCATATAAATGAAGAGAGCCGAAAGAAGAGATTAACGTTGTAGTTTTCACCACTGTTTGTCGGTTGGTGGGTTGGTTGGTTGGTTGGTTGGTTGGTTTGTGAATGAGGTTTCACAAGAACAACAAAACAGTTTTCCACAAAAGTTATTGGAAGGATGTGCTATGCATTAGGGAAGTACCCATTGAATTCTGAATCAGAGGGTGGATCCAGGATCTTTTTTTCCCCCCACTTTTTTTAACATTGCAAAATAGGCTGTTCGAAATGTTCACTACTTTCCGAGGGAAACATTCAGCCCCATTAAGGGCACTGATATCTATGAGCGTGTGAAATGTGGTGCAGCTTGATTGAGTTGAAGGTGACTGTTTGGCCTTGGCGGAGGTTTGCTTTCTACTGAGTGCCATTGTACGACTATCCAGCAGCATATGCAGATATGCTCAGTGTTGTCTGCCAGTGTCTGGCAGGGATTTGAGATGTTCCTTTGAACACAGGGAACAGGTTTTACATTGCAGGAAATACTAAACTATAGGTTGAGTGATGTGTTCTTAGAAAGTGCCATGACTTGGTTCTAAGCCTGTTTCGCTGCTTTTGTGGCAACACACCTATCACACCCCTGCCTCCTCAGGACTCGTAATCAGTGCCGCTGGAAAGTCGCGCTTTCTGCCGCATCCTCGCTAAGAGCGTGATAATGATTATAGCCGGTAACACTGACAGAGTGAACAGATGGCTGCTGTTGAATGAAATGAAATTACAGTGATCGATTCTATTTGTCACGCACGCCCAGAACAGAAATGATTACGCTCTGCTGGCTACAAAAGAGATGGATATTGAATGTTTGCTGACTGCGGAGCTGTAGCTGCCTCCAGTTAAGCTTTTACACAGCGGTAATTGAATTTTTTTTCTTCCAATTTTATCTCTTTTGTATTAAGAAATGTGAGATTTGTTGGTCTCCTTATTATATGTCCACACAAAGTACAGCAGACGTTCATGTTAGTAGTAGTGTCACCTCTTCAGGCCTCTGGTTAAATCACATTCTAATTATTGAGATGACTTTCATATTCTTTCACACACACAGGAAGTGACCTCTACACAGAGATGCATCACATTTCTTCATGTCTCTTGGAGCATGTATTTTCTCAGATTATATTTGCCTGCAAACAAACCTCTCTAGAGTGTGGGAGTTTTACTTCCTTATAGTGCTGAGCTGTCTGTGGGTGTATTCAGGTTACTGGGAATTTTATTTTCACATGCAGCTTGTTATTTAGAACTAACACACTTACAGTATATAAAGTTACTTCTGCTTCCTGAGGACGTTCATACAAAGGACACTAGAGCAACATCCATGTGACAGAAAGTCGGTATTGACTTATACTCAACATTAGATACGTATACATGGAGATGGAGCCTTGTGTCCAGACTCTGTGTTAATTTTGTCTGTATTTTCAAAAGCATACACACAAAATGGAGCAATACATTACATTCACATACAATCACTTCAGAGATAAATGCAGCATAAATGAGAATCTAGGTCCATTTGTTCCTAATGTAAAACGAGTAATGAAGAGAGAGTGTGACGTCTGACCTGCCACCAGGGACTGTGAAGGTCGGCGCAGATTAATTCAATGATGTCACCCGTCTGGATGCTGAGAGCTGGACCAGACGTGGGGCACGGCACGCCAAAGTAGTTCCTGATCACCAGCATCTTGGGCAGACCTGGAAGAAGGACAGGGTCAGTGTCATGCAAACTTTAAAACATAATTTAACAGACACTTTTTTTTTTTAATAATAAAATTATTAAAAAGTTAAAGGAAGAAGTGGTGCTGACAGTTTTGTGTGTCATTGGTGGATTTTTTTTATCATTATTTTCTTTTTATTTAATGTTTTATCTTTTCTCATATGAGTTTTGTATTGTTATCACAATTTCTGTCAAAGTATTTGTATTTATACAAAAAAAACAGCATCTAGACAAGATGTTTCTGTGTGTGTGTGTGTGTGTGTGTGAAATGAGGTATAAATGTGCATGCTTCTCATTCTAAACATGCGTCTCTGTTCTGCTTAACTATTTATGGCCCCAAAATAGATGTTAATGAGAGGAAGTAAACGTGTACATGCTCGCACGCACACACACACACGCCGATGGATCATTTTATGATTAACATGTTACAGATAGCAGTTTATCTGATTATCAGGCTCGTAGATAAAACATAAGCACCAGGGTGAGTTACAGTGTGGAATCTGTTTACTGCTGCAAAATGAGCTCAGTCAACAACATAGCTGATGTTTGATGTAAACATGTACAAAAATTATAGAAAAATAATTTCTGATGTCATTCAGTGTTTGATAATGTCTTTGGATACACGGAGAAATGTCATCCTCCTTTCTCTCAATGTACTAATGTAAATCTACTGCTCCACAGATAATGTCACACTGCTGTAAAGGTTTACACTGACTCTAGAGGAAGAACATTTTATTCAAGCTGAACCTGTTTGCTGGAATGACCTCGACCTGCTCTGATTATTCAACTTCCTATTATTTACAGAGAAATCACTCAAATTGAATTATCATACATCTGCTTGAAGCACCCGCCCCTGCCAAACAAGCCCTCGGTTCACAGTTCAACAAAGTGAAGTGTGCATATCTTTCTCTGAGCTGCATGGCGACAGTGTTGTGCAGGAACACAATGAGAGAGAAAGAAATTCAAGCAAGGGCTGCAGCTGAAGGCAAATAATAGACAAGTCAACAGCATTGTACTGAAAGCTAGCACATCTTCAGCCGCTTCTCTTTCAGGGTCTGTTCCAGCACTGACATGTGCTGGCCTGCCTAAATAGGACTTCTTAAGACACAGGGCCCTGGAGAATTGAGTCCCAGGAGCGTGCAATGCATTCCTACCAGCACAAGGATGAGCCATGTGTTAACGCACCTTTGAAAACAGACAAAGAGAGCAGCGTCGAAATATTATGAGACGCCCGGACCTTGGGCAATCAAACGCCTATTGATTTTAATGCATCTTCAGTCAGACATGATTTTCTGCAGCATAATGGATGGAGGGGTTGAAAAATGAGTTCTGAAGCCAGGTTTATGAGAGATTAAAGGCCCATGGTGTGGTGTAGCCGTGCAGACAAATTAAGAGACAGATCACAACAGAGGGAGAGAAGCAGAAATGCTGTTACTTGGCCATTTTGTGCACTGGAGATTTCATTTAACTCTTTGCTGCAATGATATAACCAGTTAATGGCAAACAGGTTCACTTTCCTCTCTGACTGAACAAGGTAAGAAAAACCTACTGCCAATTTCCTGCTTGTTCTTGCTAAGATGAGGAGACATTAATTAATATCTAATATCTAAGTAACGTATTGCAATAGATGGATCACAACATGTAAAAGGTTTGGGACTAAAAGACAAAACGACCAAATGAATGTTGCTGTTTTCCTATTTCATATCAGTTCATAATGAACTGCTTTGTGTTTTGGACTCTTTGGAGTCTTATTAAATTGTTACAGTTTTTACATTATAATAGCTTCAAGTTTTAAAGTACTTTCAAGATCATCAAATCCATATATAGTCTGAGCTAATTAGTCTTAGGAAAGTACATCTGTACATCAAAATGACCAGAGAGAGAAGAGAGGCAACAGAAGGAAGGAGGAGGGGATGACGTGTGCAAGGAGGGAGGAGACGTGGTGTGGTGTTGTGTTCTGAATTTCTCACCTGGATCTCGATCTTTGCCCTGGGAAAATCCACAGAGAAAGTGACAGTCAGACAAATGCATAGGCATGCACAATCAAAACAGATGTGCACATGTGGAGCATGGCTCAAATGAGTGATGTGCAATACCGCAGATGTTTTTTTCTGATCCAACACCAAATAAAACAAAGCGTGGTGATGCTGATGCCAAAATGATATTGATATTCTGTGCAAAAGCTAAACGTTTCCTCAAAGGGAAAAAAGTAGGCTCAGTACCTGAATGTCATTAGTCAGTGACAGTAGTTCCTAACAACCAGCAAGTTCATATCGTAGTAACGTTCGATACATTTACCCTAAATTAGTGAAGCTTTTAATATGAGAATCAAACCTAGAACATATCAATATCCGAAGTATTAATATTTGAGTATCACACTCCAATAGTTGAAACAAACATAACAGGTCAGTGCTTCTTGTTGTGTTGACCTGATGTCAATTTGCATGACAATGTTACACACATACTGCAGTTTCAGCTGAAATTATTGGCAAACGGTTTGATACCAGTCTCATTTACAGATTTGGGGATAATGTAGCATCTAAACAGAGCAGCAGAGACATCTCAGGGTGAATCTGCAAAAAAATATATAATTCCTTGCATCAGGTGTGCTGCAGCAAGTAAAGTCAATTGGAGTCTCCTTGGTAAATAGCTGCAGGAGAGAGCAGTTTTCAAAGTGCAGCACAGCTTTGGAGAAGAAGTAAACAGAAGACACAGACAGACAGTATACACATCAACAAACAGACACAAACAGACAATGGAGCAGCTCACCTGAGTTCTGACGGAGCAGGGATCTGAAAGAAGTTTGAGAACAGGCATGGTGAATGGCGGGTTAGCGGGTGCACGCAAACACTTGCACAAACTCGTCGGTACAAGGCAACAATCCCTCATTAGTGGAGACGGTGGACGCTCGTGTCTGACCGTGGCTTGCTTTGTTTTGCTGCGCTGCCACTACCTGACAGCGGGAGGAGAGGAGGTAACAAGGCGGGGAGGTGGAGAGGGAGAGGGGGGTGGCAGACCTCAGGTTTTTGCTCCACCAATTTCTTTCATTGGCTCCCTGAGGGACGGGTTACACCCCCTAACATGCACACAAACACACACAGACACGCATACTCCTCTACCTGTGCAAACAGAATAATTACATAAACACACACACACACACACACACCTGCACATTCGCACAAGTTGGCAGAGTGCCACAAATGCATGCACGGTACATACAGTACCTGCACACACACACACACACACACACACACACACACACACACACACACAAACACAAACACTCACTTACTCACTCACTCACTCACTCACTCTCACACACACATACACACAAACCTCAGCAGGCATGTTGTTCCCCAAGTGAACTTTGACCTGTTGCACAAACATACAGCAAGTCAGCTGATAACAGACACAAATACTGGTAAACAATGGCTTATCTCTGACGCACACACACACACTCACAAACACACTCTTCATTGTGGTTGCTATCTGATCTAAAGTTTTCACCTGAATGATTCACACGCACATTTTGTAAAGTTTCAGCTTCTACTTTTAAAATACTTCTACTCAAGTCTGTTACTTTACTATTCAGGCCTTACCCCTGCGGAGGATGAATACTGTGTGGAGTAATGAGAGGGGGAATTCAAACCGACACCACGGCCCTCTCCCGCTGCCGGTGTCGCCCAAATCTACTCAGGTACACTCTGTGCCCAGGTGGGCTTGGCATTGGCATTATTGCCTCTGCGACCTGACATCACTGTGACAGATGCCAGGTCCAACCAGAGCTGGCAGTTTGCCACGGGGAAAACACACACACACACACACACACACACACACACACACACACACACACACACACACAGACACACTCAGACACACTCAGACACACGTATGCAACTATGCCATGCAGTGTCACAGGTACAGTGTGTGCAGGCTGTGACAGTAAAAAACCTGCACACTTGCTTCGTTTTAAAAGCACTGTGCTGCAAGAACACAAGCATGCACTTTCAAGACCTAGAAGAAGTTCCACAAACAAAAAGTGTAAATTTGGATTCTCACCTCCTCCTGCTCTTTCTCTCTCACACACACACACACACGCGCGCAGAGGACATGCTAAGCGGGTTTCATTCCACAAGTCTGAAGTTTCCCTTCCATTTCTTTCAGAGCTGTCAGTGCTCCTGCACAGGGAGCTGAGTGACAGGTACACAGCAGGGGCATCGTAAAAAAATAAAAATTCAGTAGTTTCTTAAAACTCCTCAGTAAAGCTACTATTTAACTTTGGGATCTGTGCAATGGTGCGGAGCGACTTTGCCTTTTAGGTGATTTGAAGTGTGAGAACCACCCAGGGAAGCAGGGGGAGCTTTTAAACGAATGTGTGTGATCGAACACTAGGGCCACCTTGGTCTTGACAAATAAGCGCAAATATGCAGCTCGTATCTATTAAGAGCAAAACTCATTCCATTCTCTTTTTTCCCCCTACTTACTTTTCAGAAAGTCACCAATCGCAGCGCAGCAAACCCACAATTAGTCACATAAGACGCTCATACATCAGCGTTTATGAGCCATTAGTCGTCGTCTGTCATCACGTTCACACGGCCGTAAACGAGCAGTTGCGTTGGTACAATTTGATTTAATGTCTGGCTGTGAGAAACTCTTGCGTGCAGCTTTGTTGCACATTGGATGTGACTGATATGAGGCTGAGCAATAAAGTGACAGAGTGTTATAACTTTGGAGCGTAAACTGTGTTATATTTGTGTGCGTAGCAGTGGGTGTGTTACCTGTTTTTCCGCAGCAGCCAAAGCGGCCCAGGCATTCTTTATGGGCACCAAGACCACACTTGGAGCACAGGTAGCCCTGGTTAAAGATGCCCCTGCAGACAGAACAGCAGGGAATTCATCACATGGACAGTAGTAGAAACAGATACACAAACATATACAAAGCTACTGTAATGTACAGAAACAGCTGCATGTTGCAGCAGTCCTAAGGTTTAGTTCGGTGAAGGTAAACCACAGTCAGTGATTGTTTGCAGGTTGTTTTTCTGTAACCACCATAACATCATGTTGATGCTGACATTTGTGGTTTGTCCTCACAAGGACTAAGATTGAGTTTAGTTAATTTCAGTCAATCCCTAAAGTCCCAGACTGAATTCAAATTCAGGATTTTCTACTTTATCGCCAGTAGGACCGACTTCCTTTCCTTTCTACACGAGCCGGACTGATATGGATTTGTTGGTGGCAGATGATGAACCATAGTGCAAAGTCAAATGTTCCAATAACAATACATCACCTGAATTTAAAATAACAATTGGAAATGATTCCTGACATGCCATTATCAACCCCTTATAAAAAAAATGTCGGCTTCTGGCAGTCGTCATGCAGTTGCATGTTCATATGTTTTGGGGGCAAAGCTGTGATATATCGGTTGCATTATTTCAGTGTTTTCTGCTCTTTTACCTTTTCCAGGATTATCAACCCAAGCTTTAAATTAACAACTTCAATGCACAGCACTTTTTTTTCTGTTGAATAAAAGTTTTCATATCGGCCAATATTATTACTGAGACATTGTTCAGGCTCTACTTTCTACCAAAGCAAAAATTACATGGTGGGTCAATGGGTGACTCACCTTCATGCATTTGAGACAAAAATCTGCATGAGCTCAAATTATAGGCAAAAAGAAAAAACCGAACAGTTCTTGGTGTGCACGCAGCCGTGTGTGGCTCTGCTTTCATTCTCATTTACATGAACCATCTCAAAGGCCCTTATTAAAATGAAATGAAAGTAAAGCTGCTTTGTTCTGCTCCCCAGCTAATTGTCCATTTAACCTCAGAGAAAACTTGCAGCTTTGCTATTGTTATTGTAGAGTGTGTTGCATGAGTCAGACAAAATGTGTTTGAATCACATGAGATATTACTGCATCTCACATTTTACTGAGGTGAACCTGTGTATGTTACTAACATGTAAAGCTGTAATGCACATTTAGCGATTTTGTTTGATGTAATGTTAGCTTTAAATTATATCTTCACATTTACAACCTGCATTTTCATTTTTTATTAAAAGCCTAGACTTTGAAATAGCTTTGTTCAGCATGTTTGTGGTTTTTATAGTTAAAAATACCACATAAATAAAAAATATTACTGGTCATATAGATAATGTGTTGAAAAAAAAAAAGATATCAAATATTAACCCTGGGCTCTTGAGAGTTAGGTACAAGTACTGCAAACAAAGAGCAGTACAAGAATAGACTTAACGAAATCATCCAAATGAACAATGGCTGTTAGACTAAAGACTTAAGAGAGAAAGAAATAATCAAGAAAATAGCAACAGCCTTAATGAGATAATGAAACCTTGTACTTCAAAAGCTTCTTGTCAACGTCCTCACTTTATTCTTGCTTTTGTCAAATCTTATCCTGAGAAAACGCTGGTGAACTTGGTGCCTGTCTCTGTGTATTCACAGCACAATAATCCAGTCAATCCGTCGCCTTGAGGAAGTGCTGAAGTGTGACAGACGTTTTTTCTCCACTGGCGTCAGGAGGTGAAACCACTCAGTCGTTCCCGCTGCGAGAAAGACCATGAGGCATGGTCCTCCGGGTGCTGGTACCATTCAGAAAATTCAAAAGAAGCTTTTTGTGTAACTGAGGCACATGTGCAGAGGGAAAGAAGAGTGAAGCAAAAATACAAATAGATTATTGAGATCTGCTGGAGAGAAAGAGGAGGGGTGGAGGTCTTTCTAGTCCTGACAGAAGTTTGAAGGGAAAGAGTTGAGTGTGTGTGTGTGTGTGTGTGTGTGTAATAACTGTCCTCTTACCTCAGCAGCATGTGGCAGTAGTTGCAGGAGGTTATTTTGTCGAAGGTGTGCATGCAAAACTCGTGGAAGTTGGTGCTGCCGTTCTCGGGTCGAATGTTGGATCTAAACAGGACACACACACAACAAATATTACATATCTAACAAATCTCAATCCTTTGCATCGCACATTCATTTAAAGGTACAGTGTGTAGAGTTTTGTGATATCTAGTGTTGAAATTGCATGTTGCAGCTGAACACCCCTCACCTCTCCTTCCAAACATGAAGAAGAACCTGTGGTAGCCTTTAATTGTCTGGATTATCTGTCATATCCCTTCAACCAAACAGAGGCCTTCGTGATACGTCTTAACTTAGTGCCCCATCCCTCATCACCACCACCAGTGGAAAGTCTCCTTTGACCAGAAGCACCTAATTCATAGGACTTCTTCCATTGTGTTCTACTCCCTGATTGGGTCGAAGCGCCAAAGTCTACTCCTCTGGTTCACAGTGAATTTACTTTCATTGAATTGACTCATTCTCATGTGTTTCTTTGTGAGTCTCTCCTGATTGAATTGTTGGTTGTACTTTAATATTTGAAATTCAAAATTAATGGACAAAAATTAATTTGTGCAGGTTCTGTGCTTTGTTTCAATTGAAAACATCTTTAATTCTTTGAAAACATTCATTTCAAAGTTGTAATGTGCGCTTATAACTGAAAAAAACCTGCAGAGTAGAACAGCGACTCAGTAACATTTCATTGTTACGCTTCTTTGAAGTGGGAGGGAGATAACTTCAAGAAGACAGGCAAGGTCTGCTTGAGGAGAATACAAGAGGTGTTTGTGAGCCCTTAGGACATTGGTGTTTCTGTGTGTGTGTGTGTGTGTGTGTGTGCGTGTGTGTACACAGCACAGCACAACACAGCAGCTTGTTTATTACAAATTTCCTCCATTGTTTTCGGTGCTTTAATAGTGACACGTGATGAAAGAGTTACATGAGCTTTTTGTTTAAAATGCACAGGTGCTACTTCTGAGGTTTCTCATATTTAAACCAAATCGTCTTCTCTGGAAAATAAAGAGGCGGAGGTGGCTTTCCTACTAATTCTTAATTAAGTTATAAAATCATCTCACATGTGGCCTGTTATATTTGAACTCCTGCTCTTCATCAATAACTATGTTCAAATGAATGGAAATGCTTCAGAGTGATCTGAGTGGGTGTGGGAATGGGGCGCTGATGTATAAGTTCTATGCTTAAAATGTTATATTTCATTTCTAAACCAGAAGAGCACATCTACCTCTGCCGAGGCCCAATAGTCACCTTAAATTAAATCAGTTTTTTTCCTTCATCTACGTCCATGCATTATTCCATTACTCCATTTAACAGTGTTGAAGAAAGGTCAAAACAATTCCACCCCCTGATCTGGATCCACAGCGAAATGTATTGGGGTCTTTTCTGACCCATACGTTTTGTGGGGATCACTCCAGCACTTTTCTTTGGAGCGCAGTTTTGTAGTTCGTCCTCTCCTGATCAGATGGCGCCTCACTGAGCTACAGACATAAGAAATGTGGCGCTTTGCTTTGTGTTTCAATCAGATACCTGACGAGTAATTAATGTGAATTATACAGGTATTAAAGCAGTGTGTGGAAAAGGCTGTTATTGTGCAGCCTAACAGGATAAACTGGTAACCATGTACAGTAGTGTGGTCGTTTCAACGATCACTTCACTATGAACATTCACACACTTTCACTTTCTTTATGTGCAAGAAGAAAACCATGACATTTTAACAATGATCATCAACGTCTCACGGTGCCAGTTTCACAATTCAGATTCCTGTGCACTCCTTGGTCTTGATGAATAAAAGTGATTCACTGAAATTCTGCTTAATTTCATGACTAAAAACTCTGCGGTTTAATGCCTCCGCCACCCACTGTAGTTTCAGTCTACGTGCATATTTTTTTCCAGACTCATATGATGTCACTGTGACCTTTTAACCATTGAAATCTCAGTCATGTGACAACTGGTAAACATATGAAGACTTGATATATCATGATCAAAAGGCCAAAGATATTGATTTGAAAGGAAACAGAAACAGTGACCTTGACCTCTGACCACCCAAAATCCAATCAGTACATCTTTGAGTGAATGTCTGCGCCAAATCAAAAGAACTTCCAAGAAGGTGTTCCTGACATGTTGTGTTCAGAACCTAAAACGGAGCACTGCCTGAGGTTTTTATGCCCATTTCTATTCATTTTGCAAACTTTTTTCTAATGAAATACAACTGAAAGTCTGCTACTATATAGTAAGAACTACTTAAACTGCATCCTGTACAGTGTCTTCCCTGGTGACATATTATGGTTCCATTTGTAACTTCAGGTGAATTTGGATGGAGTTCAGGATGACAACTACAGAACTGAAGGCTTAAAAAATAAGATAAAAGTTGAAATCTTGGCTGCTGCAGTGACGCTCCTCATGCATGAATTTTAATGGTGTACTTATGTCTCCGTGTGCATTCCACTGTTTTTACGTTCGTGTGTCTCATCATCAAGCAGCCAGACCTGAAGAACAGGACGGCCATGTGTTGCGGCTTTGATGCTGTGACAGGGAAACGTGCTCTAATCACCCTGTCACACAATGACATACACACAAACCCACACACTCACATGGCCATGCCAAACTGCTCCAACCACTTCTTTTTCAGCTCTTTGGTCTTGAAGAAGAACTCGAAGCCGCTCTGGCCCTGGTTGTGAGTGAGGTAGAATCCGTAGGACCACTGCAACGGGAAAAAAGAGAAAAGCACACATTTTACAGAAAATACATCAACGACTGAGTGGAAGACAAAGCGAGCAGGAGGTGGGCAGGAGCAAAGCGAGACAGATGGGGACAAAGAGATGCAAAATAAAAAAGGCACGCCTCGGGGAGAGTAAACACGAAGGCTGAAGGGTTGGAGGGTGGAGGAGCTGACAGTCAGAACAGAGAGGAAACGAGTGTGAGGTTGCTCTGCCATATATCTGCTGGGCATCAGACAGCGTGCACAGTCCCGAGCAGCGAGCCTGTAATCAGCTCCCATCACCCACGTCAAAGGCTAAATAGCAGTCTCTTAGCCTCTGCGTCAACACATGCCTCTGTTTTTTCCCGAACGCTTTGCTAAACGGATACTTGTGAGCCGCACTTGTTTATGGCTCCTAGTTGTGGTTTTGAACTTCTAGCACTCCGCTCCGGAGGCTGAAAACATGCCGAGTTCACAGTGCTGTCAGGGAAGCGTAGCGGCTCATCTTTTCTGTTGAGAGAGGAGAGAAAAGGAAAGCTTCGCTCCAGAGGCATTCCCAGTGGACACAGAGGCTTCCGCTTAGCAAGGATATCGTCTAGCTACCAATTTGTAAAGAGGACGAGGAGGTGTTTGTCTGTGTTTGTGTCAGTTTACCTCCCAGAATACAAGGGGATCACATGTCCAGACTGAAAACGAAACATATTCCTGTGGTGATCTTCCTAAAATGCACTTTATCTTTCGCCGTGTGGAACAATTCACCTGAGTCACACATAATTGCACATCAAATCTGAAATCTGGCAAAAGTAAAAACAATCTGTGAACATAGCACTGACTTAATTTCCCCTTTAAGGTCAATGATGCTGAGCCACAGCATATAAAGATCTTAATAGATGGACGAAATAAAAACTCAATAACAGTGAAGCCAAAGCGTCTTGATTGCCCCTTGGTGGGTTGCTGTATAGGTCATGAACCCTGCCCCCTCCATGTTAGCGGATGGGACATGGACCAAACTAAAAAGTCTACATACACGTCAAATAAATTCATAAAAGGCGATTGCACGCTATGGTAATATGTTCCCTTGAATTTGGTTTCTATTTAAGCTGCATTCAGACATGCCTTGAATTTCATACATTTTCCTAAAATTTGCCGTAAGAGCTGTTTGTGAGAACGCACGTACAAGAGACATATTCCATACATTTTCTTGCCGGCCCCCTGGTAAACTGATTGAGGGCATGTTGATGAATAATACGAAAAAAAGTGTTGTTCACACAGAAGATGCCGACAAAGTTGTCAACACGGAGAGCTCATGCCGGTGTTGATGTAAACGAACGAATGATTTCCATGTATCTGGATAATTTTGGCTTCATCTAATGGAGGAAGCTGCAAATGCATCTTTACATACATGTCTATGTGGTGAGCTTGTTAGCATGCAGCAATCTATTTACACATTAATTTGGAGTCATGCCTCTGACAAACCACTGTTTACCTCTGTTGGCAGCTACAAATTGATCAGTGGTCAATATCGGGCTCTTCAGCTGCTTAGACTCCACATGTTCAGTGAGGCGTTTGCTAGCTTTGTCCTTCTGCAGTCTGGCACAGTGCAGGTTGTGTATTAGACTTTATTAGAGCTGTGTTAATCCGTGTTGAGAGGAAAACCAAAACAATGAGCTGAAAGGGGCTGAAATGCTCTGTGGAGCTGCAGAGTCAGGGGATGATTCTCTGCGGGTTTATCACCACAAGCAAATGACGGTATTTTAATCTTTTCTTACTATAACAATGTATCAGCTTTAAACCAATACAGAAAAACACGACAAGCTTTCAAACGTCACCTGCAGCTGAAAGGCTCTAACACCTTCAGTAAGAAAAGCAGGCTTTAAAGAGAGTAGTCAGACTAAAGTCTCCCACTGCTGCGTGCACGTGTCCTGCACTATAGAAACAATGTGCTTTTACCTCCTGATGACTTGTGTGGAAATGTGATTATTCTGCCTCTGTGTGTGTGATGGGGGTCTCGTTTTACCGCTCCCTTCAGTCGACCGCCGTCATCTTTGGCGTTCCAATAATAAATATGTCGTCAAGCGAGCTGCGTCATATCCATCACATCAGGAGGGTGACACTGCGGCGGACGGGGCCTTCATGAAAAACTGAGTGTGTGAGCTTATGGGTTTAGGTCTACTAATGCTGCTATTTACAACATCATTATTACCCAAATCATTGTTTCCCTGGCACGCCTGAGATAGCATTACTCTTTATGATTGGCAATATTTTCCAGCACTTGGCACTTAGTATTCTTTGTGTGTGTGTGTGTGTGTGTGTGTGTGTGTGTGTGTGTGTATGTGTGTGTGTGTGTGTGTGTGTGTGTATTCAGTTTAATGATAACACCATCTGGGAGGAGACAGACTGTTCTCCTCTGCCACTGTTTCACTATGATGCTGGTGAATGAACAAGACACCGTAAAACATGTGCTGGAAGAAGCTCGTACCAAATTATTTAAGACTCTTTTGCGTTGATTACGTCGTCGTTGTTTGCGGGGCAGATTTTTAAATATGCATGTGCTTCATTTTATCAGCAGATTAGAGAGAGTAGAGAGCGGGAGGGGAGGTGGGTGGTTAACTGAATTTTATGAACCTGCATCTATGATAAATTGTTATGGCTGCCCATTAAGCTGAAGTAGTGCTGTTAATTGGTTTGTCAGGAGTCCAACGTGGCTGCACAGCTTTGCTGACTCTGTCATAAAGACTTCCCTCCTTCGTAACTGATTGGATGATTATACGAGATGCTTGTTTTGTTCCTTTGTATTTCACAGCATGTCAGTAATCATCATTTAATCAGCCATCATTTTAAAACACTTATATTGTTCATGTCTACAAGCCACAAATGAAAGTAGTGATGAAACACTGAGGTTAGAAAGCAGAACATTCTCAGCACCTCGCTCCAATCCAGCTGGGATGGACTCCGCGTATCATGATACAGCCCTGGGTCAAAATTAGCGTCAAATCAAAAGCTGTTTTAGCTTTTTTAAAGTCACTATCAGCCACAGCGTAAAGGAGATGGTGGTGATTACACACCATTAAAGTAAAAACTAAATGTTGAAGACACTGATTTCACAGAGATGTGACACTGCCAAAAATAACAGGAAGAGAATGACGGATGTGCCAACATCTTTTCCAAGGTGACGGCCACATCTGAAAGTTGGCAGGCACGTGTTGGAGGGGGAGTTCACCTGGACGTTTTACTGTCCTGTGAATATTCATGACTTAAACATATCCAAGACCCACCAGTGGGTTGTACTGTAGTGAGACCTGCAAAGATATTTTAACACATTTACACATTTGAACACATATTCCGTGGAATCAAATTCCCTGAATTAAGCGGAATTAGGTTCTACAATCATGTACACCAGGAATAGACAATCATTTAAACTGCAGACCTTTTTTCAAGTGGGACTGTGGAGTGTTACAGGAGAAGCAAACTGATGAACAGTTGAATTTCCAACAAAATATACACTGAAGGACATATTCAAGGGGCTAAAATAAAATGTAGAACTTTTTTTATTTATTATTTCCAGGATATTTTTTTAATACATTTTCAGGTTTTCAAATTGTTTCAGGATGTGTGGGAACCCTGACTAACTGTGTCCCCATGGAAACCACGTATTTGTGTGAGTGTGTGTGTGGGTGTGTGTGTGTGTGTGTGTGCCTATGCACAGACCTTTCGGTTCTCCTTGTCAGATGTGGGGTTGTTGGTGACCTTGAAGAGGTGCAGGTCGATCACTTCTTTCATCTCGTAGTTGTCTCCGCGCCGCTTACAGACGATCACCGCAGCGTCGAACAGGAAGATGTGCCTGTGGTTCAAAGACCATAATGTTGATGAGTTCTCACCTACTGAAAATTATCTCAGGTGCATCCTGTTAAACTTCAAACATACACTACGCATTATCTCTGACACTGCAGAACTCATTTGTTATACATGACGAGTTGGTGTTTGCCTGTTTTGAATTCTGTTTATAAGACACGTCTGCTCCTCTAGTTGGATGTGTTCAATTTACAGATATTTGACTCTATCTCAAGGTCTTAAAAAGGCATTTTAAGATACAGTAGACCAGTGGTTTCTGAGTGGCAACCTCCCAGTATCGGTATAATGGCGTCCACATACACACTCAATAACATCCATTCTGAAGCACAGCTTATCACAGGTAGAGACAATTGGATGTAAAAACAATTCCCAGTCTCTGGATTCTTTATCTTTACCACTTATACTTCATGGGGAGCAGGATTCAATCCCAGCTGACAGGCTTTAGAGTTCTGCAGGACCAACATGAGACGATCAACTTAACTCTCACATTCACACCTATACAGCCAATATAGAGTCTCCAGTTAACCGCAGCTCAATGTCTGCGAAGAAGGCGGAGTACTTGGTGAAAACACAGAAAGACCAAGTATAAAATATTTATTTTTAATATTTGTTATATTATGGCTTTTTTCTCTATAACCATATGCCACCCCCAGGAATAATCTTGTGACCCCTGTACAGGCCGGGACCCCAAGAGACCCCATTTTGTGTCTTAGGGAAAAATTGCAGTGTAGCTTCTAAAAAGATAAACTTGTCCCTGAAAACACAACAATGTTTGCAGATGCAGTTTAATCTATTGGTAAGATACAGAAATAAAACACAGCAGAAAAACGTTCTGTTTTGGATGTTACTGCTTCAGACACACAGTTTATCTGCCACAGCACCTGAATGGAGTCAAAGCTGCAGTCACTCAGTCAACCAGCATGTCAATGTGACATCTTACCTGTCCTGTTTGGCCCGTTTGTCCACCGAGGCCACCCGTACCTCCCCGTCTCCTTTGGGTCTCCCGTAGTTCCTCAGAGACTGATTCTGCAGAGAAACATGAAGACAGTGAAAAAAAGACAGCGGACAGTTGAAATCAGCGGACGAATTGTGCTTCTTACCAGGTTTTCGATGGATTTCTGATACTGGTCTATTTCTCTCAGCGTCTCATTGTCTCGCTTGACTTCATTGACGTACTGAGCCAAGTCCTGTAAAGAAATCACAAAACATCAGAAAATGATCTATGCATTCTTTCATAGATACTATGATATTTATTATATTAGTTTTCCCTTTGTTATCTTCTTAGGTTGTCGGGCCTGTTTATAAGGTTGTGATAACATGTGTATCTGTGTTATTTTGTAAGTTATGTTAAGCCTCTGTGGTTAAATTAGTACAAAAAATGTAGAAAGATCACAAGACAAATATTATCAAATAGAATCATCATCAATTCGAAGAAGCACCGTATTTCTGCATTTTATCCATAAGATGCATTAAGTTCCCCTTCAGCAGATTTGTCCTCTACTGAAGTAAAAACTGCTGATTCAGGCTTCCAAACCTCATCTGTCTCTACGTGACATTGGGCTTTTCTAATAAATCTGACTGGACTCCAAAAAATAATAATTTTTCAGGTGACTTCTAAATGCTGTGTTTAGTGGACGATTACATTTTTTATACACATGGGAAAATAACACAAATGTTCATGACTGAGATGAATATTAATAAACTGCATATAAAAGAAATGATAAATTGAACATAACAACAAGCCAAAAGCCATAATCTCTTTGCGACTGCTGCAAAAGTGATTCTGAGGAGGGTGTGTGGAAATAAAATTAACTAGGAGACATCCTGAGGCACCTGATGAAAAAAATATTTTTTCTACTAATTAATAAGTGCTATAATTTAATCAGTCAACATTATCCAGCAGAACAGAATCCCTGTTTCCCCAAAGGAAATACATTTGTGATGCTGCCTCCACCACCTCAACCCAACTTTCTTAAGCAGTGTGAAGACAAATGACAATGAAACTTTATTTCTGGATGCATCTGCTACAACAGTCCAGTTTGATCGAAAACTGTTGAAATGATGTCACATACAATTTGTATTGTTGCTGAATGTAAAATGTACCTTCATGGCGTCCAGTGCCGTCCGCAGGTTGCTCTTGTCTGTGGCATCATGAGTGTGTTTCACAAGCTCCTGTTGGACAGAAACAAATCACAGTATATAAGTCCTCTCACTTCTCATGGTTACATCTCTTTCATGCTGTACAGTAAAATTGAGCTGCTCTACCACACACTGGATAAAAAAGTAGAATGTCTGCCCTGCAGTTCCATGTCTCCAGCAACCTGTTTTACAGTTTAGGTCAACATAAATTATTTTTCTCATGAGGTCACTGTGACCTTTGACCACTGAAATCTAATCAGTTCATCTTTGAGTCCAAGTGACAACGGGTTTGAAACCTGGTGGAAAAGGCAGTCCCTCAGGGCGGACTCACCACGTTCAGAAGGCCTTTATGAGTCACAGTGACCTTGACCTTTGACCTATGATCTAATCAATTCATCCTTGAGTCCAAGTTAACTTTTCTATTAAATTCGAGGAGATGCGCATAAGGTGTTCTTGAGATATCATGTTCACAAGAATGGGACGGACTGATACACCAACCATTATCCTCCGGCTACTGGCTGTTACCTACAAGGAGGAATAAAAATGAACTGAAATTCATGTATCTCCAGAACATCAACTTTTCCCGAGCAAAGAAAATCTTCCATGTTTTCTTTACTGTGGTAAATAATGTGTTAGATGTTCAAAACAAACCGAGTCAGTGTGAACATTTACTGTATTAAACCAGAAGTGTAATACTCCTGAAAACAAACACAATGTCAGTGAACAGTTTGCTGAACAACTCGTTAGTAACTTTGACAACATGATAAACTTTTCCTCATTATGTTAATCCTGTTGTTTGCATTTTCTTCAAAACGTATCTGCTTTTGCGCCTTACTCATACGCATGTGATTTCTCGGCAAAGCATGAAAAACAACCATGAAATCCTTAGATTTTCTTTCTGCTCTGACATGACATCCAAATTCCACACACGTGGGAGCGAAACAGGTGACTGCGAAAAAAAATCCTGTTCTGAAGTCAATCATATTGTGTGTGTGTGTGTGTGTGTGTGTGTGTGTCTGAAATTGCTTGCCGATGCCTGGCTGCAGTGTAAACAAGACATCTAGACCTCAGCAGTGGAGGATGAGGAAGGATGCCATGCATGTCCTTCATACAGGTCCGTATTGAGGGCCCACACACACATGCACACACACACACACTTAGCCCCTAAGGGAGATATATATGTCTTCTGGTACTGCTCAAATCCCTGGTGTCAGTCAAGCTCAACCCGGACATTATTATCACTAGCAAGACGACAGAGTCCTCTTTTTCAAGGCTCGCTCCTGCACCCCCACACATCCAGAGAAACAGAGGAGGGGAGTGGTCACGGCATTCGCTGGGACCATACATGATGGACTCATCCTGGGAAACTGAGGCTTCGGGAGAAGTGGGGGTAGGAGAAATGATGAGTGGCAGCCAGGAAGAAAGAGAGGAAGATTGATGACAAAAAAAAGATAGGAAGAAAGAGACAGCGAAAGAGAGAAAGTCGGGCAGAGAGAGGATGTGACAAGACATTAGTTGTACACATTCTCTCTGTCACAGTGTGGGAGAGTGACCCAGCGGAGGGTTTATTCAGTGCAGCTCACTATCACCAGCCTGTGCTGCAGGGAACTCGGACCATGTTGACACAACAGAATCACTTTGCTCGCACAAGAAACGTATACACTCGTGTTACGTGCAAAAATGTTAGGTGGTGATCACAGGGTTTGATTTAATGGAAGAAAATATTTTTTATATTTTATTGCTTTTATTTTATTTATTTTTATTTTTATTTATCTGCTTTTATGTAATGTCTTCTTTTTTATATTGTTCCTGTTGTTTTTATTTGTGGTTACTGCTTTTACATGTTTCTGTATTCTGTATGTGTTATTTGTTTGCATCAGTGTGAATCAGAGAAGTTATTTTCATTATTATAATTAATATAAAATAGTTAAAAATGACTGACTTGAAAATGCATCATGTGGATCATTGAAATGTCTAAAAAAGGAACATGACGCCTGAGTCACAGCCTCTTCATCTATTGTCCCCTCTTGTCTCTACATGCCTCCTCATCCTCCTCAGTCATGTCTCACAGTCATTTAGAAAGAGTCTCACAGCCTGAAGGACAGAGCCAGAGAGGGGAATTAAACACGGACAACAGCGCCTCTGGTGGAGCTGTGGGGTAGTCACAGGGATTGCTGCCTTTTGCTCCTCCAGTCAGATGACGGAGCCTTTAATATCTGAGAGTCGTCCAGAAACTCAGTGATGACCTTTAAACTGAACTTTGTGAGGATGAAGATAGATGAGCACACACAGCTCATTACACAGCAGGTGGAAGAAGTACTGAGATCCTTTATTTGAGGTAAAAGAAGTCAAGTAAAAGTATGTAGCATATATAATCATTAGAAATTCCTTATTATTATTTATGTATTGAAAAGTATACAGCCTTTTAATGTTGCTGGCCAGTGTGTAGCTGATTGGAAGTACATGGTTCAAATGTTTTTACTGATGTAAAATATTGTTCTTGTAACCAAAGCTGTCACATTAGGGAATAAGAAAAATATTTAATTGTAGTGGAGTAAAAGTAAAAAGTATTATCGAATGGAACTACTCAAGGAAATAACTTAAAAATTGTACATAAGTACAGGACATACATAAATGTGAAGTAACTTTCCACCACTGGTTGTGAACTAAACTGCAGTGATGAGGGATTAAGGTCATTTTTATTTTTTGATTTTGATCAGAGTTTCAGACTGAAGTTCTGTTTCTTCATTTTCATTTAGAACCTTTTTAAAATCGTCAGGCCACACATGCACGGTGTAATTCTTTTGACTCATCACTTTGATTCTTTTGTGGATTTGGGCTCCTGGACTTTGTATCATAGACAAACACACACGCACACACACACACACAAACGTGTCTCTTTACTGACAGTCACTCAAAATGTTCCTGTTGAACAGTTAAAACATGCAAAACATTGTTTTGCTTCTTATTCACACAAACAGAGCAGAAAGACGTGTGAAAAAAACTAATGGCCTGTTTTCATGTTTCGTTTCTCACCTTGGCTTTTTCACTGAGGGTGTGAAAAATAAAACACTGACGATATGAGATCATACCTGCAGGAGGAGGTGGTACTTCAGGACTCGCTGCATTGGAACCACCAGCAGATCCCTTAGTGTGAACTTGCCATAGTTAGCTCTTTTAGAACACTCCTGTGCAGACACAAAACAATGATTTACTAAGTTTATATGTAGACACGTGTATGTGTGTGTGTGAAGAGAAGCAGTCAGTCTGAGGGCATGTTTAAGATAATCATTATACATTTTTATTTTATAACATTTTTACGACAGTGGCAATAAAAGTTTGAAGGTGCAAACTACTAAAGCTACATAGACAGTACTGTAAAGCAGACTGTTGTCACCTACAGTGCCTCAGGTCACCACTTGAGGGCGTCCTCTGACCACTCTAACCTGTTGACAAATTAATTTTAGCAATTATTATGAACAGTGATGAAATTTTACCTCCAGCTTCATGCGTACGTCCTCTCTATCTTTGCTGATGTCATCCAGGGAGGCAATGGCTGTCTCCACGTGGCTGCAGTATTTCCCATAAATCAACAACCTGGAGGAGACGGCAAGACACATTATTACTAAAGTTAACATACAAATTGTGAAGACACAAGTTAAAGAGCATAATAAAAAATTGTTGTGTTTATTAATCTCATAGTAAAGCACAAATAACAATGTCTTACATATACATAATTAGAAGAAGAAGAAGAAGAGGAAGAATTTTTCTTGTTGGCTAAAATGTGCAGTTACAGCAAAATCCTAAAAGTTCAAACCAGTTCAGTGATAGAAGATAAAATACATTAAAACAGGGATTTAAACTGAATACAAAGACAAATACAATAAAGTAAAAAGTCTAACAAGATCAGGACAGACTCTGATAAAAGTATATTTGAAGGAAGGATTTAAAAGTTGTCACTGACTCAGCTTATTTCCTCAGACTTTAAACCCTCAGCCAGGTCTCTGGACTAGAGGGTCTCAGCCTACGTACCGGCTCATATGCGAATAACAGTTAACTAATGTAAGAATATAAATAGAGGCTCAAAGTCGGATCTGAAAGAGCTGATGCAGCAGTGATACGGTCGTGGCACTGTACAATCAAGGAGCTGGGTGATTGTTTGTTTAAGGCGTTGTGTGTGTGTATGCTGGAAGAGGATGACAATGATGTACCTCTCTTTGAAAGTGATGAAGATCTGGTAAAGGTTCTGGGCACTTCTGTGGTGGACTGAGTCTTGGATTTCCAGCAGTAAACTTTTGTGAACTTTCACAAGGTCCTGAAACGACAGCAGTAACTGCATCACTACTCTTACTTTAATGACCAAAGGACAATTAGTAAGAAGAAAGTAGAGACGCACTTTATAAACTGGAATTGACTATATTCTTGCACATAAAGAGAACTATAAGTCTTTAAATGTGAAGTGTGAACAGGAGGGATGATTACAGCAAGGCAAATATGTTTCATATGGAAAATGAACCTGTCCTTTAATGAGAAACTAATAAAACATTCCTAAAAATTCCAGATGATGCAAATAAATACACAGTGTGTGTTTGTGTTCTGTCCGACCAGCAGCCAAGAAAAACAAAGATATTCAGCTGATAATCATGTTAAAAAAGAATCAACATGTGAGAAGAAATTGAAATATTTTGTTGATTTTTACTCTAAAATGTCTGATGGCAATTATTAACTGATGAAAAGACAATTAATTCCAACCTTGCGTTAATTTAAAAACTTAACAATCACAGATAAAACCTGGGGAGAACATAATAACATATATTTTCTGCTGATATCAGTGAATGTATATTTAAAGCTGTGAATTAAAAACACATTCAGGTTCAGTAAAAATGTCTGTGACCCCCAGTTGACCAGCTCGCTGGATGATTACAGTGTCTAGTGTCAGACAGTGACTCACCGGGATGTTCACAAACACCCTCTCCATCTCCACCATGGTTAAAAACATGGTGAGCGGCGTCATAAAGTGCTGCATGAGAAAAAGAGAGAGAATGTCAGGGAGTGAAGCTCGTCCCTCTGGAGTCAGAGTGGGAAAGTCATTTTGCGACAAGTTATTATATTAGAGTTGTGAAAAAGCTACAGTCAGCAAAAACAAGGAGGACCGTCTGGGTCACGACAATAATCTCATTTTCAGAGTTTGCAATTTAATGATTTCCTCTCAGAGAGCCGCCGCCGCATAGTCACCTCGACGTCTCAGAGGAGCGGGCGAACACAAACCACATTCCACCATCCACTTCACATCCAAAGTCATCTAGTGAGGTGCTCCCCTGGGAAATCAGCCGAGCTCTTTTCCAGACGTGACCGTGCACAAGAGGGAGAAGGTAAGTAGCCGTGGCTGGGGGGGCACGAGGCGGTGGAGAAGGGGCTTTCCTCACAATGTGTGGTCTTTCGATGCAGTTTGTTCTGGTATTGCGCAACACTAATGTCAAAGAGTTTTATACATTGATCACTATTATGATCAGTAGTGTGATCAATATCTTCTTTCTTTGTTAACCCGCAGTAGTTGGATGTGGACTCGTTGTGATAATTGTGGGTATGTTGTCATTCGTCTCTGCTCACATAGTATTGATGGTGCAGGTTAGCTGCCATTTTGACTGATGAACTCTAAATAAATCATTCCAGAGGATGTTTTTCAAACAAACTTATTTTTAAATGAATTTTTGGGTATTAAGCCTTTATTGATAATAACAGAGGTAAGTGTGAAAGGGGGAGGGGTTGGGGAAGATAGAGTAAAGGGCCGGATGGTTGTAGAAATAAACTTGTTTGCTCGTGCTGTGATGAGCTGCTCTGATCATATCCTCTCATCGCTCTGCCACAAGCGCACTGCATGATGGTATATAGTGCTTGTGACCATCGGTTGTACAATATTTTTCGTGATGCATTATGGGAAATAATGAGTGCATTATATAGGGAAGATTAACTAAACATTCGGGCACCACTTGAAAATGGGAAACTGACTATACAGTGGACTTGGTGGAGTGGTTATCGAATGTGTCTTCATTGCTAAGACAACTGTTCTGCTCTTAATGGGCACTTTAATGGATGCAGGTGCTATTACAATAAAACTCTGATACGTTAACATCAGTGGATAACAACACAGAAAATCATCACCTGACATTTTAAAAACTTACACATTTAACTATAATTAAAATGACCCAATACGTCCCAGAGCTGAGTAATTACCTTCTCTATAGACTCCAGGGTCTCAGTGTATTTCTCCTCTGTCTGCTTGATCTCTGTTAAACAGCAGCTCCTGATGTCAGTCTCCGCCTGCTTGTGAAACGCCTACACACACAAACAAACACAAACACACACATGCGCCTGTTAGTGTCAGCGCTGTGGGCTGACAAACCCCACAACCCTTTGATATTCACATCAATGACTCAGTGGACAAACTAGAGAGGACGTCTGACTGACCGGAGGAGGGAGGGCTTCTGTCTTCATTAGGTCCTCGTAGATCTCGCCGCCATCTTCATCATCATACACGCAGTCATACAGATCCTCCTCATCCTCCAATCCGTTCTCACTGCAGCACACAGGACAGGATTACAGTATGTGACATCACAAGCACATGAAATGTTCACACACGCGTGTTAGTCAGGAACAAAACTCTGAAAGTGGCTCAAGAACACACACACACAATATGGTTAAAGGTTTTTAAAAAGTCAACACAACAATAAAACAAAATCCTGACATAAGTGAAAGTGATTTTTAAGAAGAGATCTAAAATCAGTGACAGATCAAAAAGACATAATCTGAGAGTTGAGAGACCTGAACTGTAAAAAGCACAACAACCCTCAATGACCAGAGTCCAGGAGGCCTCGATCAACTGATCTAAGGAGGCTCCCAGGCTCATATGGGGGTAGTGGATTGTGCAGTGTGCAGGTATGTCGAGTGTGTGCAAAGAAATGCATGTTCCTGCACTGAAGTAAGAGAATAGGAAATAATAATAATAATAAAAACTCCAGTGTGTGTAACTGCAGTTATTGTACAAGTGGAGCTACGATAACACACCTACCCCTCCTCGTCGATTTGGAGCGACTTGCTAAAACCGCCCTTCATATATGAAACCACACTTGGCTGTTACAGCATCTTGTAGGTTGCAGTAGTTGTATAATAGCAGGAGATGTGTGTTTGGATCTGGGGGCTGTTTACATTTTCAGAACAGCGTGGTCAGGATCTAATTTATTCTTAACAAGGCAGGACGGGAGGAAAAGTCTTATGAGGATCACAGTCCTCGTGGTCTGGTTCACTCTGAAGTTTTCAGTCTGAAACCAAGCAGCTTGTTGAGACGCTGCTGAACGTCCTGAACTATAGCTGGGAGCTGACGGCCGGTCCAGCCTCTGCAGACTCGCTGCCCGAACAGATGGAAAGGTGTTTAACCTGAACTTCAGTGTAATGTTTTGATAAGAAATGGTGAATGACGGCTGCAGTCTTAAGAAAAGTCCCTGATCCTGATGAACCGAGCCACTGTCAGTCGTTTACTGCAATGCCGCATTGTTTTTAGATTAAAACCTTTGTGAGGATTTTGTTTTCTTGTTCTTTGTCAAATGTTCAAAAAATTTATTTGCTATTTTGATAAAATTAAAACCCAGCTGTCATGATTTGTTGAATGCAGGGTCTTTAAATCACCAGTAAATTACCGTTGTTTGAACAGTTTGCTCAAGTTTGAACGGGTTAATGATTTACATGAAAATCTGTTATTAAAACTGGCAGCCCTTTCATGAGTGTGTGGGAAGAGGGTGTTAAAAAATGATGCAGCCACATGCCCACAACGCTTGTGAGCGGGGCGGGCGCATGCTGGTAGCCTTGGAGGTGTTGGCCGCCTTCCAGACAACACCCAGAGAACAAATGTCACCTGCAGCCCACAGCATCTTGTACATTTTTAAATGGTGGAGAAAAAAGAGACTAAATAATAAAATGACCTTAAAAAATGAAGCTGGAGGAGAGAAAACAGAGAGAGAGGTACACATACTCTATCAGATCCACCAGGTGGTTGTAAATATCCTCATCTTCAACACTCTCCTCCGTTGGAAAAGGCCTTTAGAGAGAAAACAGAAAAAAATTTGTGTTAATTCTATTCATATGTGAAAATACTGCAAAATATAACCTTTGTTTCAATTATGTGTTTCCTTTGTAACAAGGCGAAACCCACCTGATTCCAGTTTGTTGTGCAATGATTGTGTGGGACAGTTTGGAAAGTGTGTCCATCACCTGCAAAGTAAAACAATTTGTGTTAGGGGATGGCCGTGTGGTAGAGCAGGTTGCCACTAAACAGAGGTTGGTGGTTTCCATCCCCAGCTCCTACAGTCAGCATGCTGAAGTGCTCTAGGGCAAGATACTGAGACCCAAACTGCCCCTGACGTCTGTGCCAACAGTGTGTGATTAAAAAGAAGTGCAACTGTTTAATGCTTTGAGTGGTTGATTAGAAAAGTACAATATAAATACAGTTTATTTACCATTTATTCTCATATAATGTCTGCACTATATAAACATACACTGCAATACTCAAAGGAGACACAAGAGGGCAGCATTCTCAAACACTCTGCCAGCCACTATTATTTACAGTAACAGTGCTGCACAAAGTCATGTTCATTGAACTCACAAAATCATCAAGAATAAAAAAAATAAGATATAGAATAGAAGAAAAAGAAAATAACACCAAGTAATATTTTACTGAGCTGCAGAAAATCCTCACACACTCACATTCACTTCATGATGAGAGTAACAGTGTTAGCCGGAGCACTTGACCCTTGGAGTGCACGTGTGACCTGCTTGACTATTCACAGCTGAGGTCACCTGCTCACACACAGCTTTATGATCCCAGTGGACGCTCAGCAGGGAGCTCTCTCTCCTCATCCGCGTCCCGCGACCAAGCACCGGACCCACAGGCCTCTATGTTTTGTTTTGTGGGTCACCGTCTGCAGCGGCTGTCACGACAACACGCCTGCACACTCACACAAGCGCATCACTGATTTAAAAAACATAGATACATCTGCCCCGGAGCTTCAGCTCTCAGAGATCAATACTGATCACACAACTGGGCCCTCCCCCTTCCCCCAAGACTACACAGAATGAACAGCCGCACACAGACAGAGCAGGGACAAGCTGTTTCTGCTGACACCCTTTAAAGTCCACACTGTGCCACGGTGCACCACTGGGACTGATAACGCGACGCACAGCTTGCCACTGACATACAATTCATGTTTGCCCAGCATCGGATTGATGCTGATGATTGACGGGCTTTATCTGTATCAGTATTCAGAGTGTTTAACCAGGAGGGTCTCTGATTTGAAGGGTCTCTTTTGATGAGGAGAGCGGTATCGATCAATCGAGCCACATGTAATCAGTCATCCCGCGTTACATCCATCAAAAAGACAGAGGACGACACTGACTGATGAAGAAATATCTTCTGCACAGTTGTCTGATGATGATGGTGCTGACGATGGCTGAATAAAGTGTGCTCTGAAATGGATCTGTTCACAGAGAAGATTCCTGGTCTGATGAACATGCAGATAGTCAAACCAAAAAGCAGATGCTTCACAGTATTATACTCTCGAGAAGAAAAAAAGATTTTCTCCTGCATCACCTCGGCCCCCCCACAGACTCTCAAGGTTTGCCTTACACACACTGACATGGCATCTTCCTGCACGGGTATCATAAATCCAGAGGTTTAGGTCTCGTGTAAGTCACAACAACTCATACAGATGGTTATGATGTACAGGAAACAGCCAGTAAATGTTAACGTCCTCACAGACTGTGGAAGGGGACCAGACATCATCTGATGGTTGTAAACTCTCTAACACTGACTGAAATTTAACTTTCATAAATCTGCCAAAGCATTTCATCATCGCTGATATCAGACGTGTCTACTGACACCTCGAAGCACAAACAAAGGCGTCAAGTTAAATCAAAGGGAAACATGAGTGGTGAGCGGCTGAACACAGGGGGGTGGGAGTGGGGGGGTAAAGGAGGCAGCTGGCAGAAAGGCAGAAAGGCAACATCGATACTTATTGAAATATATTTGTCATCACCACTCAGGAGCAAAAATCAGCCTTCAAACTAAAAACAATTAATAATGTGACATTTATTGCGATAATTATCGATATTATATAGTGGTTTTTTTTCCTTTTTTATGATTATTTTGATAGATTTTGATATAAAACTATACACATCAATCCACAAAAAACAAATGCTACTAAAACAATTGTGTGCTTTAGCTTGAAAAATGTATTAATGTGCTCTATTTTTTGAAGCAGATTAAATCAGACATTAGACACATTAAAAAAATGCTTGTACAACATCATGTCAACCCTCCACTATTAACTCAACACACAGTATGTGCTCATTGTCTCTGGTGTTGAAATATTAACAAGTCCAAACACAGATGCATAAAAAATGTCACATCTTGTTTCTGAGTGAATCCTCCGATATTTCCCAGAGCATCGTTCTCGCTCTAGTTATTAACCGTCACACAGCTGTTAGACACAGTCTGTGGTTCACCCTCTCCAGTCATGAATGGAGGCCATGACATTCGGAGGCCAGCTGGCAGGTACACCACGACTGAAAGCGGAAGATCCACTGAAGGCTGAACACAGCATTTAGAGCTTTTCCACTTGTAGCTGGCAGTCCGCTTTCGTGGCCGAGTCGTGTTGCATTGAGCCCTTTTGGCTTCAGCGGATACATGAGTCACACACGATTGCAACAAAAGTGACCACGTGCACACGGCCGAGAAGACTTTCCGACAGCTCGCATCCATCCATCCAACCATCAGCGGTGGCACCACTAATAATAGAAATGTTGAGAAAAATATGCACAAAGGAAATGAGTGGTTGAGATGTACTTAAGTTTAGCTGCACAACTCCATTAGTCAGCAGAAAAATATAGATGATTACCACTGTTCTCAGAGCTGCTTTATGTAAGACTTAAAAATACATCATGATTCAGTTGTCACAAGGGCTCTGGAGCTTGACCTGCACGGTATCTGTTCTTTAAAGCTGCGCTGAGTTACTGTGTCTGAGACCAAAGTTTAGGGTTAGGGCGAGAAGATAAAATGAGAAGGTTTACATGCATGTAAAGCTGAGGTCAAAGGGTCAGCAGAGGACAGGGGGAGTTGCAGGGGGGACGGGACCATTGATGGAGGTTGATAAATCTGAACCACTCGTTCTAATGATGGATGATGCACCACATTTACAGCAAGCACTGCAGCATCTCGACAATACCAGAGCTTTGATCCGTAAACAGATATCATACATCACAACTAACTAACAGAAACCATCTTTTACACAATGTTTGGCGTGTGCTTTAATTCTCATCCATGTTCCATTTGATAACATGGATGAGGCGGGATTTATGACCTATAACGCAGTCAGCCACCAAGGGTAATGAAGACACTTTGGCTTCACACACGCTTGCAAGTGGAGGCTCGACATGATCAGACTGGGATGATCTTGGTTTAATGGTGGTATACAGCAGGTCAGGACACAGAGAGGACACAGCATCCCTGCCGTCAACATCCAAACCCACTGATTACCTCCTCTCAATTTATACTGAGATGTCCTTCACCTCAGGAAAATGGCCGATGCATTTTAGATGTGTAACGTGCCAAAAGATTTATTGGTTTCACACACAAGCCGGCGTGCTGTCCCAGTTTTCATGCTCTCTGCTTTTACTCCTCGTTTTCTTTGGCTCGTGTTCTTTTCTCTCTTTTCTTTTTCTATTCTAAATGACTGATTTTCAGCTAAAAATAGATCAGGGAAATGACCCAGTGGAACACATACAATATTTTTATTTCATTTGTTGAAAGACTGCACCCTCTAAACCACCACAGAGAACATTTATTTCAGTTTACACTGAAATCAGTGATGGAAATGGTGCCATGTTTAAAGGGGAGGGAATAAAACAACTTTGAAATGGTCTTGTAGACATAAGTCGTGTTCTGTAACTAATGTTTGGACATTGAAAAGTTCCAGTGTATTTGTTAAAGACTAAAAAGCCACTAAGATAAGACTATGCATTTTTTAGTACATTTTGTACATGTGATTTTAGATATCATGATGTTTTCTATAGAGATGTAGGACATTTAGTTGCCTAGAGTCCCAGTATCTGATCACTGCATCACTCCTCACACTCAATAAAGCACTCCTGCTGAGTTTTACATGAAGAGATGACACCAGACTGACCAGGGATCAGCTGTTGGGCTCACACCGCCTTCTCACCCCAACACATACGAGGTAAACCAGGAGGAAAACACCCGAGGGGGTTGACCCGACCTCAGAGAACAAGCAAGTGTGAAAGCATCTTCAGACACTGTTACCATCACCCACAGCCTCAGTGTGATTCCCTCCCGACTGCTTTGAGCACTTCTTTAATATCTCAGTCTTCACACTATATTTGGAACAGTTTATATTTACTCCTCCTGCACAAAGACGACTGTCTCTTAGAGGATGAGTCAGATGGTGTGAAACTGAAGACGTTCCATTTAATTTAACTCTGCTGCACAAGAAGAAGAACAAAAAGCTCTTTTGGCTGCTGTTCTACTGAAGTTTGAAAGCTGCAAATGTTTGTTAGGGATTAAAATCTCTGCCTGCAATTGTTTTATGTCATTGCATCAACAAATGACTTTTGAATACATGCATACACACATGGATTGGTGCGTAAGCATGTGTGTGAGCACGTCTGTCTGACGGATGTGTATTAAATTCAGTCGGCACAGAGGAGCCAGATAAACCCTGATAGGCTCACAGAGAGTGACGAGCTAATGTTTGGCAATCACTGCCACGGCTCATTAACGGCCATAATACATAATTAGTGTGTTTGGATATACAGACGTGGAGCTGATTGGAATGAGGAACACGTTTTCCATTTGTCCTCAATCTTCATCGCTTGCATCATTTACTCGAGCGCAGGCGAGCACTGCTTTACATGCATTCATCCTACAGTCATATGGTAAAGACAGCAGACTAAATAGAAAATACAGTGTAAATGGCTCTGTTGAAGCCTCTCATGGAGCATGTTGATTTGGCGTGTTAACAAATACACAGAGTTGGTTTAACAGAAGAAGATAATGCTCTCTGCTCCAGGTGTTGGATTACAAAGGGTCATACTTAGTGTCTTAATGAATCATGGGTGTGTTTTGGTCATATAATAACTTACAATGAATCAGTTCAGTGATAGATCATTTTAAGACCAACACACTAGTGGGTGCTCAGATG